ACCTAGATACATTCCATAGCAGCTGTAATAGACATTTAGGTACATACATACATTTACCAATTTTGGTGATAAATAGGCATTTTACATTAGTTTTTGTATAACGCCTGAACAAAAACAAAGGGTAATATTTTGGTGTTATACATATATTTCGAAAATAAAAAATATATAATTTAACTAATTAAGACATGACAAAAAAACTGAGGTATGTCTCGTTTCTGTCGGGTCTGGGTTTTTTTTGTATGGGGCGTGACCGTTCTTCTTTTTTGGCATAGAGTTAGTTTGAGTCCCGGGAATGGACATAGGGTAGTTTTTATGCCGGTTTTTGAAACGGGGACGCGCGCGATAAAGTTTTTCTGTGACAGACAAAATTCGACGCGGGCGAAGCCGCGGTCGGAAAGTTAGTTGTATATAAACATTTTACGGCCCGACATTTCTCCGTTCTGCTTCAGTGGAGACCGGGCCTTACTCATATAAAGTATGTCAATGAGAGTTCGTTGACGTATCGTATTTATGAATAGTGTTGTGTCCCTGTCCCTGTTAGCATTATCACTCACGGGCGGGTAAGCGTAGCAGCCCGCAGCCATAACAGAGCACGGTAGGCCTGCCAATGCACGGCGCAATGACCGGCGCCCGGCACGCCGCCCGCGCCGCCGCTTACGCCTAGTGCTGCCAACGCGCCGCGCACCACTCGCGACCTGACAAGTAAATTGAGCTTTAAATCAAGAGTAATAAGGTAGTTGAAGGAATAGGGCAGGGCAAATTTTATTAATTTATTTAATTTAATTCTCTCACAACAGATAAGGAAAAACATTTCGTATAATATATCTGTTTAATTATGGTGGCAACAATTCAGCCATTACCAAGTAAGTAGTAAGTATAATATATCTGTTTAATTTATAGATGAGCATTGTGAGAGCTGGTGCCTATTGTAGATTTTAAGAAAATCTATATTACAGGTCACCAGGCCCACTCCGCGGAATCTATTTTATTAAATAACTATACATTTCAATAATTGTTAGATTCCTAGAAATACAGAGTGTTGGGTTCTAATTAAATAGACAGGCTAAACAAAAAATAAAAAATACCGTAAAAATACCCAGTACCACATGTCATATTCTTCAACGTCATAAAACTGTAAAAGTGGACGTTAAAAAATCTAACCTCATTTCAGCCATCTGTCTTATTGCTTCAGTAATCACGGACACTCCCAAATCACTTGCGAATAGATTGTCGTACTCGCTGGTGTCTTCGTCATCATCTGAGAAAAAGAAACACAATGTAATAACTCCAAATTATGCAAAGCAATAAAATGTATTTATGTTGTGAAATGTGATGCTCTTACGGTTAGAAGTATCGATCTCCGGAACATCTAATCTCAGGGCATCGTTCAACTCCAGCACGGCGTTTTGTAGATCTTTTATCGGTTCCAAAATTGATGTGAGCTCGTCAATTTGCTGGGGACTGAGAATCTGAAAATTGAAACTTTTAGTAATTTATAACTTTCGTATTATTTTCTCAGTAGGTGTTGGAGCATGTATTTTACCAATAAAACAGATTATTCATAGTTGGATGGAATTTATTGCAGTCGAGCGGGGTAGCCGCACATCTCCTCTCGTCTCCGCTCCACCTTGGTGGAAACCGGACTTAAAGGCTGATTTACACGTAATAATTAGAAAAGTAGGTATCTAAATTTTAACTTAATTTTAATTTTAACTTATTTTTTCGGGTAAGATAGTGGGCGGGGCTTGTCACTTGACACGTTTTGACAGTTTCATAGTAAATAAGTTCTTGACGTTTGGACATAGACTTAAAATTAAGTTAAAATTTAGTTACAATAACAACTACTTAATACGTGTAACTCTGCCTTTAGGCAGACCAGAGGGCCTAGTGTGAGTTTACATCAAACGCGCTCACTAGTGAGCGCGTCAAAAATGACGTTAAATGTATGACGGATTGTACAGCGCCCCTAGCGGAAACGTTCAAGAACTAAAATTTCATAAATTTTTTAAACGCGCGTTTGATGTATATTGTAAGGCGATTATCACACTGCGCCGCGCTCTGCGGAACGACAGATTTAATCATTGTATGCAAGTACCTCAGTTTGTATAGAAACCACTCGCGGCACAACACACTGAAAACGCGTCTGCGCGCGGGATTTTTATATGAAACTAGCTGACCCGGCGAACTTCGTACCGCCTTAGCGTAGAGATTTTCTTTATATTTTTTTCCGTAAAAACCTTGTACAGAGTATAAGAAAACTACAAAAAAAAATCAGCCAAATCGGTCAAGCCGTTTTCATGTTATGTCGTGACAACGGAAAACGGGTTTCATTTTTATATGTATAGATCACGCGTACCGCGGCGGAGCGCGGCGCAGTGTGATAATGGCCTAAACTTATGCTCAGGCCACAGTGCGGTACTCACGGGCGCATCAGCGGCGTGCGGCGTGGCATCGGGCGCGGCGGGCGCGGGCGCCTGCAGCAGGTGCAGCAGGCGCGGCAGCAGGCGGTGCTGCGGCGCGGCGGCGGCGAACAGGCGCCGCTCCAACTCGCGCGCGCCCGCCGCGCTCGCCGCGCGCTCCCACCGCGCGCCAGCCAGCACCACGCGCACCGCGTCCGCGGATAACTCGCCGTCGCGGGCGCCTGCTGAACAAAACACGATCGTTAAACTTTTTTGGGGCACCTGGTGATCAAAACACGATCGTAAAACGTTTTTGGGGCACCTGGTGATCAAAACACCATCGTCAAATTTTTTGGTTTTTTCGTCGCTTTCTTTTGTTTTTGAGTAACGAGAAAACGCTAGAGGCAGAAGCTAGGCCATATCTCTCAAAACTGATGATAGAAAAGTTTTAAAGTAGTTTAGTCGGCCGTTTGGTGTAGTTCAGAACGGACTACTATGCCGAGAGGTCCCGGGTTCGATTCCCGGCCAGGCAGAAATTGAAATGGTGAATTTTAAATTCTGTGACGGGTCTGGGTGTTTTCTATGTATATTAACTAATATTAAGTATGTATTTACAAAAAAAAAGTATTTAAGTATGTTTATATCCGTTATCTAGTACCCATAGTACAAACTTTGCTTAGTTTGGGGATAACGGCGCAGTGTAAAAATGTAAAAAAAAAAAGTTAAGTAAAATGGTTTCCGAGTGAACAGCATCTTGACGAGGAAGGAAAAATTAAAAAAAAAGTAGAAGATTGTGCTTTTTTCGATCAATGGACTGCGATTAGCTGACATTTAATGAGAAATAGAGAAAACAATTGCTTGTGTTTTACACTTACGTAAATACAGTTCATACATACCCATTCCAGATTCCATAGGACTGAGATCGGGTGATAGCATCATACGCTCGAGTGGCTCCAACTCTCGGACCAGCGATATGCCGGCTCGCCGCACTACTGCACACCACCATCCGCTTTCTACATCATTGCCCTAAAACATCACATGATTTGTAGTTTTTAAGCAAGTAGGAGTCTTCAAATTAAAGTATGTATGACATCTGCAGATATACATACGTGAGTAGAAACCATGAGACCGAGAGGTTTTTGCAATCCTTCCATGTATTGCATGCACCAACTGTACAAATCTGACCAGCACCTAAAATTTTTTTAAAGTATTAACATCTTTGATGTTATAATTACTTACTGCATTTGATATTTTTATTGTAAAACAACTTTATTACTTGTGCATCAGATGCGAGTGGTCAGGAGCAGAGGCTCGTGCAATAAGGTGCCTGAGGCGGGTTTGGACGGCGTTCAATGCCGCCTCACTCAGATCGCCGTCGATAGACGTTTCGTTGCTGCCCCATGTACGGCGGTATATCTTAAAAAAATATTACATTGAGTGCCATTTAAATTAGACAAATATAGCCTTTTACAATAGTAATAATCACTTTCATTTTAGTGCTACTTAAAATCTTTCAAATCCATTAAATGAAGGCCATAAAAGGTTTATCATGGTCCTTCGAGCCGGATCCGTCATTTAGATTATCCATTGACTAGAACAAAGAAAGAATAATACGCCCAGATCTCATCATGATCCAGTTAAGACTAAATACAGCATATTTTTCCTCTAAAGTTGAGCAAATACAGTCAAATCTAAATACAACTATTTTCAGGAATGTGCAGTATTTTGTACCAATAAGGATGATAATTTAGTAACTTACTACGAGCGCCTTATTAACCACCGAGGGCGGGAACAATCCCGGTGCCAGCAAGCGGTCGCGGTACTGCTGGTGCGAGGCCAGCTGCGGCAGCGGCGGCGCCGGCTCCCGTCCCGCCACTGCGCGCCAAGACACTTCCGCGCCCAGGACACTGCCTAAGGAACATCACAAAGCTCTTGTATCAACACATCTGGGCCCCGATTACGCTAATTTTTAACGTCTTCAATACAGACGCGCTTCTTCGATACGATTCAAACGGTCAAAACAGCTGACGTCAGCTGTTTTGACCAATCCGTATCGCAGAATCTAAGAAATCGAAGAAGCGCGTCTGTTTGGAGACGTTAAAAAATATCTTAATCGGGGCACTGGTTACTTTGTTTCAATGCCTACTCAGAAATGTAACTCCCGCCGGCGTGGAATGTTAACATGTGTCGAACGAACAAAAACAAAGCGATAAGCGCGCGCCGGCCATTGAAACCTGACACGCCGGGCAGTACAAGTGGCGCGCGGTGGGGGGTCCGGGGATTCAAAGGTTAATATTAATAATCTGGTCAGCCAGGTGGGGATTCTTGGATGGCTCAAACATGCAGTGCAGGTGCGGTTTTGTTCCCCAGTCGATGAAGCACATGATGTCGTGCTCTGAGTACCTGAGCTACTGTATGCAGGAGGATTTAATTAATGCTGCTGACAACGCCACTCTTGTGGCGGAGTTTTGGGCTAACACTGTGTAGGTTTGTTGTCGACACGTTAAGAAGATTAATGTTACTTTTTCACTAAGAACACCAATATCAAATGATTAAAATTATCTGAGACAAAATGGACAAATTAGGGAAACCGTACTAGAAATTGCATGTTGCAAAACTCACTTGTTATGATAGTTTCGCCATCAGGCTGACTCCATAATGCCCAAATAACATTGGTACCCTCACCATAACCAATGCTATAATCAAACAGGTCCAACTAAAAAAGAAACTTTACAATTAGTTTATTTATAACACTATAAACCTAATTAATCAATTTGCTAAACTATGATCTTACTTGTGGTCCAAAAATACGGCAGATATGTGAGAACTTAACACCAGCACCGCCATCATGCATCTTCATGACGACAAACTCGCACTCATCAGGAAATGAGATATATGCTACCAGCATCACACTCCCATCAGTCCCAATTGACTTCTGCAACATGTGGCCATGTGCTGTAAGAGAAATAATACCAAGTTTAAACATATTAGTCTGGGGTGCACCATCTTTAACTGTAACAAACATCAAAAACTGTCAAAATCCATAAAAACACNAAACTCCATAAAAACACTGATTATTTATTTAAGATGGAGCAACTCAGCCTTAGAAAAATACATTTAACTGGTTACATTAGAACGAAGAAAAGAAACCTGGATTGTGGTCATCCAATCTAATTACAGCAAAGCAGTCTCTTGGCATGAAGTTTTTCCAGTATAAATATTTATTTTGCATATTGATTGAAGTTGTAAATCAATTGATGTACACACATGTAGAGCAATTGCATACAAAGCAAATAGAGTAAAAATAAAATATTTACTCTACAGGGTGTTAGGTAAATGGGTATATGAGCCGACACTATCCCATGTTAACATGGGCATATAAATGGTATGGTGAAGTCAGAAAATTGATATCTTCATTTTAATTATTTTAATTTTCATACAAATCAGATTTCATAAAATTTATTTTGTATGAAAATTAAAAAAATGCTATACTTACGCTATGCCATACTTACGAGGTGGCTTAGGCCTGACTACAGTTTGGGCAAGGGGAGGCGAGACAGCGACCGGCGCACCGCCCTCGTCGATACCCCACGCGCGAAGACACGTGTCGCCGCATATTGCTACTGCCAAATTGTGGGTTAACACCACCCCATATGTTTCAAGGCCATCAGTACTTTTTCCTCTAAAAACAAGAAATAAATCAAAATATTTGATTTGTGAATTATCTTAAAAGCTGATTGTTCATTTTATGTATTTATAAAGGCACTACACAGAAAATAATTCAGGTTTTACAATTTCAAAAGACATACAAGGTTTCATGTTAAAGTTAAATTGTGATAAATATTGCACACAATATTAACATAGAAAGGTAAATACTTAAGAAGATACAAACCGTAATGCGCCAGTGATTCCTGATAAAAATCTGGGTACTGCTGACTCCCTTTTAAGTGGAACCGTTACTGCAGATCCTGATACAGGTAGCTTTACTAACAGGAGGCCCCCTTCACCCCCAATGCCAAATGCTAGGGCAAATAATGCTTCACCATTTTCCCGCAGTAGAGAAGAACATGTGTGGGCAACACCTGTAGCTATAATGTTAATAAGTTTAAATTAATAATAATTTAACAGTCATTTGTATTTTTAACATAAAGAAATATTGGGAACCAGCAAATCAGCATAAAACTTGAGTAAAAACAATGTTCAGTTTCACAATACTTACTTGCATTTGTATATTGATTCAGGATAAAGTAATTGTTAGGATTATTCAAAGCACTTGTATCTTGGAATATTGAAGGCGACGATGTGCTCAATGAACCAAATGTAGACTAAAGAATAAAGACATAACATTAAGATATTGTAAAACTACATAAATTTTAAATAAACTTTGGGTACCTACTACAAAAGTTTTTGGTACTTACTTTCTTATCCAAAACTTCAGGATGAGGGAATGTTAATCTATGAACTGAGGAGACAGTGGCAGCCAAAATAACTATTTCACGGTATATGGGACGTTCATAAATTGTTATACTGTTTAACGGTGGAGTGCCTGGTACTTTACATCTCAGATTTGCTCCAGATAAATTCACATCTAAGGATGCTTCTGATAATTCTATTGAGTCTGGAGTAGTTTGCCTGCAAATTGATGCATCAATACAATGGGTATTTAACCAGCAGGTATGCAATGTAAGATTTAAATTATTTGAATGTTTTGAACTAACTTTTATTACTTACCAATATATAAAACGATTTCGGGTGTTTGCTTTCTTTGAATCTCTGTACCAATAGCCCCCTGCCTTCTGAGGTAACTTTATATCCTGAAGGGTGCTGTGAGTACCACCTATGACAAAAATGAAATTATTATGTAGGTTCTAAAAAGTATTATTGTTGTTTCAATTGATGTTTGATAAAGATCAGGTTGAATAAATTTAAATATAAGACTAAATACATAGAAATTATTTCACAAAGTTTATTGTTTATTTACCAAAATACATGAAATACAAACCTGTATTCAAAACAATTTCCTTCCATTTCTCTGGAATATTGTGATTAGGTGTAATTTCTTTAAAGGTGACTGGTATTGCATCAATGAATTCCATAATTATATCACTGTAATAGTGATTAGAATTTAATTTAATTTAAAAATTACTTATTTTTAGGTTATAAATTACACCACAGATTAGAGAGTTTACACCGCCGACAGCCGTTGCACTTTTTTTGGTGTCTGACTTTGTTTTTTTTTTTGGAGTCAGTGCCAGAGCCAAGAAATTGTTGTTAACATTCTCGTTATGGAGAAGGCATAAACATTTGTAGCTTATGGCCATAAACGTTTTAATGTTCAATGAATGTTTTAAGGTTTATTTATTACCAACAGCGATATAATATTGAAAATAATAGATAAAAGATTACAATTTTTGTTGGAAAAAATGAATATAAGATGTTAAAAAATTATAATTATCAATATTAACAGCAAAGCTTAAAGCCGGTCCTCCAGCGAATGTTTTTCCCTACACATACAACAAAAACATTTTTTGTAAGCATTTTTGTTGAATGTTGGCATGTTTTTGTAGATTTAGATTTTCTTTCGTTCTTTTTTGTTTCTCTCAATCGGTTCTTGATAAATAAGCACATCCCTATGCGATGACGCATTCCCACTAAATCGTTCAAAAACTGTGAAAAGAAACTTTGTATTTTCCTATGTATTACTTTTCTCTATGCTTTGTATTGGTAGACAATTTTGACGTTTTTCTTGTTGTGTATTTCTGAACGTTCAAAAATTATTATCCGACTGATTGCAAGAGTCCGATGACTCCGATACTGATTTTTCTTCCTTGTCAGGATCTACTGCTTTTCCTTGTATTAGAACGAGATAGTGTCATTAGCTACATAAGACTACTATATTTTGAAATGGATTGGTTTAATTAGTCAACCAGACACAATTTTAACAAGCTGTATTTTTCAGTATTTATTACCATTAATTACTTTTCTGTGTTATGTGGTCAATTTAGGCAACTAAGTGAGAGATTTAATGAACTATTCAATATATTATGCACCTGAAGTGCTATAAAAATAATGGTGTTTTTACGTGAAGTAAAAAATACATAGGTTTGTATGAACATACATCGATTTTTTTTATGTCACTCATTTACTTGCAAAACAATGAATAAAACAAATCCTTTTAACATTGTAAATGTAATAATGTGTCCTGTTTTTTTAAAGAAAATAATTTGATACGTAACTCCATTCAAAAATAGAACCTACCGCCCACGTACTTCTGACATGAACTATTGTATTGTGTCCCAGGAATAACACAAATCCCAGTGCCAATTATAAAGTTTAAGCTTATTATGAATAATTGGAAAATGTTGCTGGTATTTGTCATATTGTTTTGTTTTCTATAGGTTCATTTAGGTCATTAATTTTCTGGAAATTCTTGCACTTCTACTTAGTATAAGTTCAAAGTAATGATATTTTTAGCTTACTACATTGTCCTATAGAAGATTTTTTCAAATGCGCTTTATGTTTGCTTTTAGAGAGATATTAAAATAGACCACACAAGATGAATTCGGCTTCTCGTTTCAATAATTGTTTGCTGATTGTCCATTTACTCGAAATGAAAATTTAACACTGGACCGTTTTCTATTATGAAATCAGCTGGCAATGTCATTCAAGGAGTGCTATCAGTCGTGAACAAAAGGTATGGGGATAGTATATCAGTCGAAGCGCTAGAATTTATGGTAAACGGTAATAAATATATTCGAACAAAGAAATATCGTTTTCAGCAGTACCGAGGTGGCGGGTTGCGAGCACGGAGCCGGCGGCGCGGGGTCGGGCGGCGGGCGGCCGGCGGACACCATCCGGCGCGTCAAGGTGAAGATGTCGTCGGTGTCGGCGCAGGGCGTCGTGGAGCGCGCCTCGGCCGAGCTGTCGCGCCGCATCACGGGGCTGGGGCTGCGCGGCCGCAAGCGCTCGCCCGGCGTGGTGGAGCGCGTGGCCAACGCGCTGTGCGGGCCCGCCGCCGCCGCCGCGCCGCGCGTGCCCCGGCGGCGCCGCCCGTCGCCGCGCCCGCTCGTGTGGAGCCAGTTCGTCATGGAGGACAGGTTCCTCGAGAAGTTCTTCCTGTACTTCACGGCGAGCGACCGGAGGAACCTGGCGCAGGTGTGCACGAAGTGGCGCGACGTGCTGTACGCGTCGCCGCGCTGGTGGAGCGGGCTGGTGGCGGTGCTGGAGTGCCGCGAGCTGCGCGCGGCGCCGGGCTGCTGCACGCAGCGCTTCTACAACTCGCTGGTGCGGCGCGGCATCCGCGGCGTCGTGCTGGTGTCGGCCACGGATGACGACATTAACGAATTTATAAGGCAATTCCCGTTATCGGCTCACCATGTCCACGCCATCGGCTTAAAAGGCTGCACGATAACTGATAGAGGGCTGGAAGCTATTTTGGATCACTTACAGGTTTGTGTTGTGCATTTAATAACCGACTAATTTTATACTGATATAATCANTAATCACTAAGGAATAAAGAGCAATGGAGCTCATTGTTTTTAAAAATTCGGAACAGAACTATTATTAATTTATACACGATGATTAAAGTAAATATAGTACTGATTTTTACAATTATTTGAGCTAGGGCATCCTTTCTGATAATACATACAAAATTTATCTTCAGAGTTTGGCTGAAAAGTTTTTAACACTTTCCATTCTCTGTTTGATAATTTCTCAGTCAAGTCAGAAACATTCATCTTCATAAAAACAACTCATACTTTCACTTGATAATTTTTTTTAGGTTCTGTTTGAGCTAGAACTAACCGGATGCAATGAAATAACCGAGGCTGGTTTGTGGGCATGCCTAACTCCACGAATTGTCTCTCTCACGCTTACTGACTGCATTAACATTGCTGATGAGGCTGTAAGTACACATTTACATTTTAAATTGCAATGACTTTGTATATTCCTAACTTTATACAATGAATAATTATGTGAAGTTATTGCCTACAAATAACAAAACATAATACAGGAGTAACCGGAATGGTGACCTTATTTTATAAGTATTGTTAAAAGCAAAATTGGGGCGATTATAAATTCAAAGTTAATCATGTTAAGTTTGCTTCTTTATTGCATCTTTCTTTACAATTTGTTGGATACTATTGTAATGGTAATAAAGCAGCTTTTTAATGGTGCCAGGTTGGCGCAGTGGCTCAGCTGTTGCCCTCGTTATACGAATTCTCGCTACAAGCGTACCACGTGACTGACGCGGCGCTGGGTTACTTCTCGCCCAAGCAAAGCGCTTCGCTAAGCGTCCTCCGTCTGCATAGTTGCTGGGAACTGACAAACCATGGTGTCGTCAACATAGGTATGTTGTCTACTTACAAACTTCTATCGCTATTTTAAACGCTATCTAATTAGTGCAGATCATTCTACCTAAATAAGTATTCAATTTATAGAGATATGCAGCGCGCAAGTACTTAATTAGTTAGAGTAAATGACAAGTACTTTTATAAATAGATCGGATTTACCGAGTACTCAGCCGCCTGTTTACTTCATTGCGTAGTTACGTACTTATACTTAACGAGCGTGCATAGTAAAGAGTCCAATTATGTCGAGTATGCGGTGGCGTTCTTTGTGCGCTCCTAACCCATTTAGGTCAAGAGATCATTTTAGCTAGGTACCTTTTCTGAAGTACAAAGTAAGATTAATTAGCATACGAAAAGTGGAACTGAATATTCATAATGTATAACAAGATCTCTTAGATATCTTTGGAAATAAAACGACGATTAAGCAATTGCCTTTCGATAAATGAGGCATATATTTTGTTATAATAAAGAGGAGTATTAAAGAGTTGCCAAAATTTTAATTCTTTTAGTAACATTTACTTTGTGTAGTTTTCGAGTTAGTATTTGGTCGATTGTTTAAATATTATTAAGTGTAATTGCAGATCAAGATAGATGCTTTTTTAATTAATTAGCTATCTGAATGGTCAACTAATCTGACGTAAAATGTCTCTAAAACACTCCTGTCTCATTCTCTTTAGAGCGTGTTGACGGGCCGGACAGAAACCAGCTTGTCAACACACGCTCTTAATCTTCTACTGCCACGTCTCGTTGTTCATTAGTCTCGCTATTTTTATAAGTAAACTAGCGGCCGCCCTAGACTTGCCGCCGACGCGTGGATCCCGTTTTATCCTCTTAGGGGTGGAGTTTCGTAAAATCCGTTCTTAACGAGCTCCTACGTTCTAAAAAGAACTCCCATGCAAAATTTTAGACTCCTAGCACTTGTAGTTTCTGATATTTCGTGATGAGTGAGTCAGTCCATCAGTGACCTTTCGCTTTTATAGATATGTAGGTATTTTCAATTCCATCCACAGTGCATTCTCTGCCGAACCTAACGGTGCTCTCGTTGAGCGGGTGCAGCAAAGTAACGGACGAGGGCGTAGAGTTGCTCGCCGAGAACCTGCCTCGTCTGCGCAGCCTCGACCTCAGCTGGTGTCCGCGCGTCACCGACAACGCGCTCGAGTACATCGCTTGCGATCTTAACCACCTAGAGGAGCTGACACTTGACAGGTAAGTTCAGTTTACTAAAGCCTGGTCCGTGAGCACGTAGAATTTTGTCCAATGACCCCAAGCTACCTATCCTTATTGATCGCGCGTAATTATGTTGCTGTCGCGCTCGCACACTCACTGCGGGCGCCCGTCGCACAGTCGCGACAGCAATATAATTACGCGCGAGCAATAAGGATGGGTAGCTTGGGGTCATTGGACAAAATTCTACGTGCTCACGGACCAGGCTTTATATAAAGTTAATATTCCTTCGGAATAGAGCAACAACCACAACATGTCAAACGAAACCAATTTTGCGTGACACTGGTGTGTCAGAGTCAGTATTATTTCACTGTTTTGTACAATAAATCAATCATTGAACCAGTCATCACGTTCCTGAAGCACTTTTCTCATAAACATCCACGATTTTACTCACGTAAAATCTGAAAATATGTCAGAGTTCAAATTTTCAGCGTGCCACTGCATGCCTCTGAACTGTCAAATAGTTGCAATAAATGGTCTGTTTGACGTCACGGCGACGGCATCACGCATCTCTTTTTATCACACAGTGTTTCTGCTTGTGACATCTCGCTCGCTCAGTTCTTTGTTGCTCTATTGACTCAAGGTTTAAAGAACATTTATTTCTCATTAAAAACATTACAGTCACTTACATGAGAAATTAAATTTTATGTAGGTAGATAATTTACAAGTTGTCCAATAGCCAGAACAAGCAGATGTACTTCTGCGGGAATCGTCCTTAATGGTGTACTACTCTTGATGCTGGATAGGAAATGTATGCGCGAAGTCGTGGAGTTGCTCGCTGAGAACCTAGTCTGCGCTGTCTCGACCTCAGCTCAAGAACTGACACCTGACAAGGTAATATTGCAACCGCTGACGTCACACCGAAAACGAAAAGAAACTTGTCGCTGCGTCTGCTGATTTTTCACAAATGTCTTGAATTCTTGAAGAAGCATCTTGCGATATACGACAGGTTGAGCCATAGCTGTCAATCAATACAGTCGACACCTCATACATTTTTGTTACAAAATCGCTCTTATTACAACCACTTAAGTGCCTCAATCGTGTGCGGTTGCAGATGCGTGCACATCACGGACATCGGCGTGGGCTACATCAGCACGATGCAGTCGCTGGCGGCGCTGTTCCTGCGCTGGTGCTCGCAGCTGCGCGACTTCGGCGTGCAGCACCTGTGCGGCATGCGCTCGCTGCAGCTGCTGTCGCTTGCCGGTCAGTATGAGCTTGGCTTCAAGCGCTTTAAGGCCTCAGCCTCGAACTTAGCGGGCAGCGGGGCGGGAGCGGCGGCGCCGCTGGAGCGGGGCGGGCAACGCAGACCCGTTCTCGAAACAAGCGGACAGCTCGCGCGGCGCTTTAGCGGCGAAGTGTTGTGTTCGGTTTTGTGTTGTCGAGATATTTGTTTTTATTCGCAAAAGAAATGTCTGAATTACGGCGACAATTTTATTTCGATTCAAATTTATNCCCCCCAGGCCAGAAACTGGGTATTAGCAGTCATATTATGTATTATTATGTTCAATACAAACAATCATAAAGTTACACTCACCCCAACCGCGTCTCCGCGGTTCCATTTTCCATCGAATCCTATGAAAATGTGGTTTTTGGACATAGCGATACTTATTTTTCACAATTTTTATTTTTTTAAATTACTGGTCGATGGGTTACTTTATTTTGATGAATAAATGTTATTAAAAGTTTTTTTCTAAAACTGATAGTTTAGCTGGAAAAAAATATTTTCCATCCCTATAGTACGCTGGCTGCGCTCGATTCGGATATTGTGACGTCACGCGGCCCTGCGTACGTTGACAATTAGCGGCAAAAACGGCCTATGTTTATTACTTAATATCTTCGTAAGTAATGGTCCGATTTGGATAATTCAAAAAGATATATCTTTCTTATGTCTTATAGATTAACGTAGATACTAGTTTTATTGAATTTTCTACCACAGTACTGATCCTCATTCCAACATAATTCCATCCACAGTGCATTCTCTGCCGAACCTAACGGTGCTCTCGCTCAGCGGGTGCAGCAAAGTAACGGACGAGGGCGTGGAGTTGCTCGCCGAGAACCTGCCTCGCCTGCGCAGCCTCGACCTCAGCTGGTGTCCGCGCGTCACCGACAACGCGCTCGAGTACATCGCTTGCGATCTTAACCACCTAGAGGAGCTGACACTTGACAGGTAAGTTCAGTTTACTAAAGCCTGGTCCGTGAGCACGTAGAATTTTGTCCAATGACCCCAAGCTACCTATCCTTATTGCTCGCGCGTAATTATGTTGCTGTCGCGCTCGCACACTCACTGCGGGCGCCCGTCGCACAGTCGCGACAGCAATATAATTACGCGCGAGCAATAAGGATGGGTAGCTTGGGGTCATTGGACAAAATTCTACGTGCACACGGACCAGGCTTTATATAAAGTTAATATTCCTTCGGAATAGAGCAACAACCACGAGATGTCAAACGAAACCCATTTTGCGTGACACTGGTGTGTCAGAGTCAGTATTATTTCACTGTTTTGTACAATAAATCAATCACTGAACCAGTCATCATGTTTCTTAAGCACTTTTCTCATAAACATCCACGATTTCACTCACGTAAAATCTGAAAATATACAGAGTTCAAATTTTCAGCGTGCCACTGCGTGCCGCAGAACTGTCAAATAGTAGCAAAAAATGGTTCTGTTTGACGTGACGGCGACGGCATCACGCATCTCTTTATCACACAGTGTTGCTGGTTGTGACATCTCGCTCGCTCAGTTCTTTGTTGCTCTATTCCGCTAGGTATATTAACTTTGTGGTGTACTACTCTTGATGCTGGATAGGAAATGTATGCGCGAAGTCGTGGAGTTGCTCGCTGAGAACCTAGTCTGCGCTGTCTCGACCTCAGCTCAAGAACTGACACCTGACAAGGTGATAATATTGCAACCGCTGACGTCACACCGAAAACGAAAAGAAACTTGTCGCTGCGTCTGTTGATGTTTCACAAATGTCTTGAATTCTTGATGGTTCATCTCGCGTTGAGCCGTAGCTGTCAATCAATACAGTCGACAGCTCTGACATTTTTGTTACAAAATCGCTCTTATTACAACCACTTAAGTGCCTCAATCGTGTGCGTTTGCAGATGCGTGCACATCACGGACATCGGCGTGGGCTACATCAGCACGATGCAGTCGCTGGCGGCGCTGTTCCTGCGCTGGTGCTCGCAGCTGCGCGACTTCGGCGTGCAGCACCTGTGCGGCATGCGCTCGCTGCAGCTGCTGTCGCTCGCCGGTTAGTACGAGCTGGGCTTTAAGCGCTTTAAGCGCTGATTTGGGCGAGTCAACCGCGCAAAACTAGTGCTGACTCGTACAAGACGTGAAACTGATTTCCCTGCTTGCGCCAAACTTAAAGAACGGACTGGGTATAAGACGTAAAACGGAGTTCCACATTTGCGCCATGCCAAACTTATGAAGCGGACTCGGTAAAAGGCGTGATGTGGATTTATATGTTTTTCGCTGTTGTAATACGTATTTACAAAAGAAGAAGATTTTGTAATCAGTATCCATTTTTTTAATAAGCTCTATAGAACAATTTAACAATAACAATTTTATCTTAATTATTTTTAATCGTGGTATTTTTCGCGTAAAAAATAATTGAAAATCCGATTCGCGGGTGCCCATATCTTATTTTTTTAAAGGTTAAGCCTTTTTTTCGCGTACCATTATGTCTATTAAGCTTTGTAGTTAACTGTGTGTACGTATTTTTCTATGAACGAAGCTCTTTATTCACGGGTGCCAATTTTGAAACCAAACACAATAACACTACTATCTACTACAAACACTCTTAAATCCAGTTACCAAAACGCACTAGGGACACGTAACACCACTATTCACAAGGTATCGTATCAACAGCCCTTTACAATCCACTGCCGGACTATGAGCCTCCTCCACTTGAGTGGATTCACAAGGTACTAAAGCCAATTCATTCTACAGGGTGTCCGCTCCTGACGTCCGGAGGCCTGTCGAGCCTCATCCAGCTGCGGCAGCTGCGCGAGCTGGAGCTGACGAACTGCCCGGGCGCGTCGCCCGAACTCTTCGACTACCTGCACGAGCACCTGCCGCGCTGCCTCATCGTCGAGTAGCCCCGCCGGCTGTAGCCATACAGCCTTTGGAACAACACGTATGTGATTAATTTTATGTAATAACAGATGTTTCTTTTTAATATAATTTCTTTGATTCTTTTCCCAAAAAGTTTTTATTACCTTTTGGATGTTTCTTGTATGTAATCGTTGATGTGTAACTTTCGTTTGCACTCGCTATTGGTCTCTGAACAAAAGAAAGCGATGACGTCTGAAACGAAGAAGATTTTGTTGCACATTGTTTCGAAATTGCGTTTCACTGGCCGCTTCAATGATTTGATTGGCGCCAGGAAAGAACAAATAGAGTNCTGCGCAGTTTTTAAAATTATTTTAGACCTATGGAAGTACTTTTCTTTTTCAAACTTTTAAGTTGAAAATTTTAGAATGTTCTGCTAAAAGCCTATTTTTTATTTTTCTAGCAAACATTTTGTATCTTGCATCAAAGGTAGGAAGGTGATTATTTTTTTCAAACATCTGCAATTACTAGGGAATCTGTCAAAAAAAAGAAATCTGAGAAAAGTTAACCCAAAAAAAAGATAAAAAAAATTTAAAGCCTACTAGGTCATAAAATTTAAAAAAATCACAAAATTAACGATAACTTCTAAACAACGAAAAATCGTAGAACATACATGGGGGTGAAATCGATAGGTCTAGTCCTCACCTATCACCTGCCTTCGGCTTGACACCTTACAAGAAACACCCTGTAGATGACCCAAACTGTCCCACCAAACTCATTTGACAGAGGAGCGCCACCATCGTTCAACTATTATGTATAGTTTTCAACATGACAAAAATCGGAACCAGCGATTCGGTATTGACGGTGGAGCCCCGCTGTCAATGTCACGGATAGGACAGTTCAGTATATTGGGTCTATATGTGCATGTACACGTACACACTGCACACACAAGTAAAATTCACTCGCCTTCGTGAGTTGCAAGAACAATATAAGACGTGAAACTGATTTCCCTGTTTGCGCCATACTTAGCCTAGGCGCAGACCACCGACTTTTAGTTGGCCGATAGTTGGGTCGGGCTGTTAATCAGTATGGACAGATGTCCATATGAAAGTGCGCACATTACAGAGATTTGATATCGGCCGATCTTCATACAAATTACAATCGGGCCCAACTATCGGTCAACTAAAAATCAGTGGTCTGCGCCTAGGCTTAAAGAGTGGACTCGGTGCAAGGTTGGAAACGGATTTCCTCGTTTACACCAAACTTAAAGAGGGGACGGAAGGCCTGAATGAATTTTATAACTTTTTTTTAAATTTGACATCAAATTGGTCACACGACTATACCAAAACTTTTATCCAGTTGACAAAACGAACTAAAACAACTGACTCTCACTCTTATAACTACATACACTCGCTTAATCCTTTGCAAGATTCCAATGCCAGTACTTTCTACAGGCTGCCCGCTCCTGACGTCCGGAGGCCTGTCGAGCCTGATCCAGCTGCGACAGCTGCGCGAGCTGGAGCTGACGAACTGTCCGGGCGCGTCGCCCGAGCTCTTCGACTACCTGCACGAGCACCTGCCGCGCTGCCTCATCGTCGAGTAGCCCCGCCGGCTGTAGCCATACAGCCTTTGGAACAACACGTATGTGATTAATTTTATGTAATAACAGATGTTTCTTTTTAATCTAATTTCTTAGATTCTGTCCCAAAAAGTTCTTATTACCTTTTGGATGTTTCTTGTATGTAATCGTTGATGTGTAACTTTCGTTTGCACTCGCTGATGGTCTCTGAACAAAAGAAAGCGATGACGTCTGAAACGCGAAGATTTTGTTGCACATTGTTTCGAAATTGCGTTTCACTGGCCGCTTTAATGATTTGATTGGCGCCAGGAAAGAACAAATAGAGTTTTCTGAATAGTTGAATATCATCAATTACTTCTAACATCCAAAGTCGATTGCATTTATGTAATGAACGTGGTTACAGACAGTTTGTTGACATAGAGAGAAAGGGACGCTGCTCTAGGAGCTTAAAATCTATTGGATAGAGTGCTGTCCCTCTCACTCATGTGACGATGTATGTACAGGTGGTACGTTAGCTAGCTGCGCTAATTGTATTAGGATATACTATATTGTATTTTGGATTGAATTTCTTTCCATTTTTCTTAAATTTTGAACAATCGTAGATTCGTTATTGGTAAGGTAAGACCGAGTGCAGAGGCGTGGAGTAAAACCCGTATTTCAAGTATAATACATTCAGATACTTCGTGGAAGACTGTTGAGGGGTCCTATACTATCTAATGAGTAATAATGTATAAAGCTATATAAGTTACCTCGTCATAATTTGGATAATAAATGTCAGTTATTGGTAAATTTAATTTTGGTATCTCGCTCGATATTATGCAAATAGATGCATACCTCTACTATACAGCATGTACTAAATCTTTCGGCGGGTTACAGACGGTTTTAAAAAATAAACCGAAAGTTTTAAAAGATTTTGACCTCTCTTGATTTGAATTATCGTTCACTTTGTGTAAATGTTTGCCATGGTTTTTATAAAAATGGTTATAATAATACCAAAACTAACTGTACGGATGTGATAAAAATATACAGAGCTACAATGTACAGATACTGCATGGCTATGTAGCTGGTTAGCCCAGTAAGTTTTTTGAAAAGAACTGTAAAAATCATGCCTCATAAAAGATAATGTACCCTAAAAATTAAAAAATTATATTATATTCATAATAAAATAAGCTCTTCACCATTAATAATAACATCTGTATTCTTAGGCGCAACCGTCCCCATGGCTCAACTCCAAAGTTAACTAAAAAAAATATTCCACGCGACACTCCCTTCACAGTCGGGTCTCAATCTTCTGGAAGTAACGACTGCTATGAATATATTCTTCTTTAACTCCGATTTCTATGAGTAGATGAATCACCCTGTAAATAAATAGAAAGAGGTTAACGGAAACCAGAACTCTAGGTATGGTAAATATTTAAATTACATACTAAATATAAATATGTAATATGAGTTCAAAGAAATTATCCAATAATTAAAAGGCATCGTCTAAGAATATGGATGTAAAAGTCTGCCTTCTAGTAATAATTTCAAAGGCTATAATAGCTATAGGGGTGTTATAGTTCAATTACCTAAACTTATATAGTATAACGTTCATATTTTCGACATCATGCAATCTTCAATCAATAATATACTTATAATATTTTAGTTATGTATTTGAATAGGTTTAAATTTTAAAATAATTTTGAGACAAATCTTATTATACTTAATAAATTAGTTGATAATCCACTGCATTGCATTTTTTTCACTAAAAGACCAATTTCAATAGTCCATAAATTAGTATATGGTATCATTGAATGGTTTCTGTTTTACTTGAATAAATAGACAGTGGCATAGTAGATTGCATAATTTCTATAAAAACAAGTTGTATTTTATGTTTGGATAGATGTATATTATTATTAACTTACCATAGTTAAGTACCTCGAATGTTTGTGCTTCTTTTTATCATTCTTATTAATTTTTATTACATTATGTATGTATATTAGGAGTCGTTGTTTCTTATTCCTAAATGTTTGCTCAAATTGTTTGAATTGCCATGGCGGGAACAGTGTAAATATATGAACGACTGCTGCAATAAACTTACTATCAACAATTTGCTCGTAAGATTATGGTAACAGATGTTTTAACATGAATAATAATAGTCAAAAAGATGAACACAAAATTGTATACTTTGAAAGTATAGATTTGATCATACAATTTGTAAATGATACAAAACGCATTTAATACTTTGATGCACATATAGGGCTTTAAGCCCTCACAATGCGAAATCAAAGTCAGTTCGGGACGCCTGAAATTTCACTTCGTGCTCGTTTGACTATTATTACATGTCTCTCTATGTAATACTTTATTAGTGAGATAATCAGTAAAATAATTTAATAATTTGTGTGGATTGTAAATTATTTAGATTAGATCAATTTTATGTTAATATTAATGATATAGATTTTTATTGACATAAAACTTTATTTAACAATATAGATTNTATAGATTGGCATTATATTCCTGATATTCAGATACCCGCATGTTTATCTATGGAAAATGAGTGTGCTGTTGTACTAATACTTCTTTTCATTCATATTTTCTAGTCCACTTATAAAATACGTTTATCAGACTGGGTTTTATAGGATTATTTTTTCGGATCTCTCGTTATGTTTATAACTTGCTTTCTAGTCAACTTCTATATACTGTATACAATTTATTTATTTATCTCATAATGTGTTGAGAAATATTTCCATTTCAATTAATAAAAAATGTCATAAAATAAATCGGACAATATTATAATGAAAACATTTAAATAAAATCTAGTATTTTAGACACTGTTATGATAATTTACAACTCTTTTAGACCATTACAAACTGTATTCTGCGCCTTTAGGACTGTAGTGCGTTTAGTAGTAGACGAATAGGGTTCTTATTTGACGTAATAGGTAAATAAGCTAAGGCTGACTTTCGCATTTCTAACATCAGACTGGTCTGTTGGGACAAATGCGGGCTTTTGTTTTGTTATTTATCTCCATGCCGTCCGAAACCGCATCACTGTAGGAATGAGTGAGTTTGTATTTCTTTGACCAATTGATATTTGTGATGTCACTTCGATGGCAGCAAAGACGTGATATAGTGATTCTTTCATCAGGGCTGGTCACACATTCATTGAATAAATGAACGAGTACATAGTCTGTAAGAAATTTCAAATTAGGACCAGCTCTTATGAAAATACCTCGTTACTCAAAGAAAAATAATTCTAGAATATCGATGAAGCATTCAAGTAATATAGAGATTACAGCAATAATTCTAGGGTAATTCACATAGCGCGTGGTACCTCATTAACAGTGTTATTGACGAGCTGATGTTAAGCTAGGTCTAGCTAGTGAAATTAAATCAGACGTTGGTAATAGCGTTTAGACACCACAGTATTTAAAATTGTAGCCTATAATGGTAGTTATAAAGTGCACAAAAAACCTGTGTCAATATGGTAGATTCATATAAAATTAAAATCAGTACATTAAAACGCACTTGACACTAATCAATAGTTCGCCGGTTACAGCTAATTACAGCATGATAAATTAAAAAAATGATACATTAGGCTAAGGGTTTGTTACAAATATGTGCTACGCTCCAATTTCTCTATTTAGCACTAACGATAGTGAAATCGAATCGTAGTGCAGTAAATATTGCATACCAAATTCAATTAACTGTGTAGCTATTTCTACAATATATTTAATTTGAAGATGCCTTTTTACAATATAGGAAACATTTAATGTAATTATCGTGGTGACATTAAGCTCACTGTTGATTCTACAGATGAAGAATATTTTATGGTATGGATGGTGTAAAAATCCGTATTGTATATAATTAATAACAAATTGTAATTATGTAGTCTATTACAGACATAATTTTAATATTGTTGAAGAGATATGACTTATCCACTCGCTGTACTACAATGGTTGTAAATGAAATCAATACAAGCAATAATTTCTGTTAGGGATGCCTATCAGACGCAGCCTCGTTTATTTGGAATATTTACTTCAGTTTACATACATAATGCTAACAATAAGGTGTGTAATATGTAATAAAAATACCGAAAATATTTTTGTATAGCGTCAAAACTTTGAATAGCGTAATTATAGCTATTTTTATGTGGATTAATGTTTACATTTGTCTTTTTGAAGTATATTTGCGCTCTAAATTTTCCAATCTTACTTCATTGTGTACCTTCCATTTACCAATAAATAGGTTTTCGTGTGTTATCTGCACCTACTAGATATTGGCATTGTTGTGTAAGATTTGTGTTTTCGTGTTATTGTCCAATTTCATAATAACACCTATTTTGTACAATACCAAGTGAAATGTTATAGTGCAATATAGATGTACTGTTTTACGACTTGTTTTATTTTCAAACACTCACACTAGTCATTAGTTTTCAACCACATCTTCACAACATACAGTTCAAATTGATGTGGGCTCTGTGGATACCAAAAAAGGTCTAATATTATTCTGTGTGGAGAGCAGGATTCCGAGTGTGGACGGATCTTTTTGTGGTTATGGGATAAAGCTAAGAGCGTGTGCCCTTCATCGATACGATGAACGCGAAAAATCTCCGGCCCACGCACAGGAGTGTCATTATTATTTTTTCTCTGTGAAATGAAAATGCCAAAAACATTATCTACCAGAGGGCCTAGTGTGAGTTTTCATCAAACACTATAGTCTTTTTCACCTAAGATGATCCTTAAGACACTTCAAGGTTATCCATATTACGCATACTACATATGCAGAATATTTTTGAAAAAATATTTGTATTTTATTAGCAATATAATAAAAAAAGAATTAACTACTTGTCTTGAAATATAAAGTAAAATCTGAGTCTATTGATTATATTTTAATTAAATACGATGTAAAAATATTTTTTATTTAATGTACGCAATGTGTGAAACGGAATAGATTTAGTGCTGGGGTATTTGTTGAATAACAAAATCGATTACAAAATAGATTCATTAATCGATTGCAGTGAATACTTAGTTATTAAAAACATCACAAAAATCAACTATATTTTTCGATTGTTGACTTTAATAAACGCATTGAAAATAAATTAATAGTTTTTAATTTCAAGAAATAGACCCAGTACTTTTTAGGAATCGTTTTTTTGAACACGAAGTCCATGGAATTTGAATATTATCAATAAAAAATTGTTACAAAAATATGTTTCATTAAAAAAACATGTTTTTTTGTTAAATGACACCTATACAAAATATTTCTCTAAAAGTAGGTTTTACTAACTCTTAGGAAAAAATCGATAGATAAATCGCTATGGGTTAGTTATGTGACATCTCTATAACTTTCAAACTCGAAACGTCATACGGATCATCTTACGTGAAAAAGACTATAGTGAGCGCGTTTTATGTAAACTCACAGTCAGCCTACAGATACGTCATTCAACCATTGGTTAGACCAATGTTAACCCGCGGTAAATTACAAGATTAGTGCCCTGAGCACGAACAAATATAATTATTGTTCTTGGGGTATGGTAACCGTTCATCTTCTATATATATAAAAGAAAGTCGTGTTAGTTACACCACTTATAACTCAAGAACGGCTGAACCGATTTAGCTGAAAATTGTCAGGGAGGTAGTTTAGAGCCAGGAGAAGGACATAGGATACTTTTTATCCCGTTCGAAATTAAAAAAAAAACTCTGCTTATTTATTGCCATTAAGGCGGAACAAAGTTCGCCGGGTCAGCTAGTTTTAAATAAAACAAAACATCGCTACCTACCTACTGTTCGTTCGTTAGTTTCAGCTCGATCGCTACTGTATCACTTTATCAATGAAGGAATATACAGGGTAACTACGAAATTGTAAACGAAATATAATTTTGTACGATTTATTGCAATAACACAGTCTTACAAAAGAAATCAGTGATGACAACAAATGAGGCAATTAATTATGTTGGTAACTTCGAATTATTAACCACTTAACATCACAATCATTATAATTTTGACTGACTTAGAAACCAATAAAGTCAGATCCAAAACATCCTTATAATATGCAAACCTATTGCACGATAGTGATACATAGTCGAATGTCTATCTAACTATAGAATTACTTATGAAGGCATACAATGAATTATTACTCAACAAATAAACTAAAGAGATTTACGGGTTTGAAACAAAACAAAAATGTATTCAGCACCAATATTAATCACTCGTAAACATATTTAAACAAAATATAATAACATTTTTACACATTTATACAAAGGACATGCTATGGCTTTGAATAGAAAAACCTTGTATCAATGACTTTCTCATTTGACGCTGGGACTACTTTACAAACAACAATCGGCATGACCATATTTATTTATGACACCAATGTCTAAGCAACGCAACGCGGTTGGTCATTTCAATGGCCGTTCTGGTGCTTTATGCGATTGGCGCTACTATGAACGTGCAATCAGTGGCCAGTGCGACTTTTGCTAGCAGCATGCACGTTGAATGCCAAACGCATTCGAATCAGTCGAACAGCTGTGTTAGCGCTCTAAAATATCTGCAGTAATTATTTCTAGTCCTAACAACCTATATTATTAGAAGTGTAACGAAATGCATTAACTTAGGAGTGTTTTATTGTTACATAAATAGAATACTACAAGTAAATATAATACAATATCAACTCCCGTACAAATTTACAATAAAGAATGTCACTGGAAATAAATAAAGCTTGCTCGCTAGGTACTTATTCTTCGATTGAAACATAACTGGGGATTTCGTTGTAGTTTCAGTCTTGCATTTATTATTTGGTCCTGGAAAAGAAAATGATTTCGTTATGAACTTGGAAGTGTTATAATTAGTTGTCTCATTGGGATAAAATGCTTTAAAAGAACACATCGCGGTAGTGCGGTGGTCAGTCCTAGCCCTTCTGCTGGGGAGAGTTCCACATGATCCACTGGTAGTTTCCATCGAGTGGATAATCTTTAGATAATTATGACGTCGCTGCTATCATCATTGCTGTCGCGAGCAATGTGTTCTGTTTTTGGGCATATTGCTGCGACACTGGCCCCGCCCCCTTTTCACATCTCGCTTTAGTTTCTGTGATCTGTGGTCATCGTAGTTCGGCAGCGAGGCTCACCTATACAATAAGTGTAGTGTGTGACGGTACTTGGAGAATAAATAATACCATGGGGGTAGAATTAGATGATTCTACCCATCATACGGATCGCGCACTCGACGCTCCAGTCAGCCTGTGACCACGGTCGATGCAACTCGGTCGGAACGTCAGGCAAACTGGTAATATTTCAATGTTACCCTATCAGCGTATCGCGTTAAAATTAATTTAATTATGCAACGCGAAAGTTTAAAATGAATGATTGAGGCTGACCTGGTTAGTGGTAGGCCTGCAGGTAGGCGGTGGCGGAGCTCACCTGGTCAGCGGTAGGCCTGCAGGTAGGCGGGGGCGGAGCTCACCTGGTCAGTGGGAGGCCTGCAGGTAGGCGGTGGCGGAGCTCACCTGGTCAGTGGGAGGCCTGCAGGTAGGCGGGGGCGGAGCTCACCTGGTCAGTGGGAGGCCTGCAGGTAGGCGGGGGCGGAGCTCACCTGGTCAGTGGGAGGCCTGCAGGTAGGCGGGGGCGGAGCTCACCTGGTCAGTGGTAGGCCTGCAGGTAGGCGGTGGCGGAGGCGAGGTCGCGGCGCAGCCAGGCGGCGTTGAGGCGCACGGTCTCGAGCGCCTGCTGCACGGAGCGCTCGGTGCCGGGCGAGTGGTGCGCGCGGAAGAACGCCTCGATCTCCTGCGCCGCCGCCTCCGACGCGAAGTTCTCTGTCGTCGACTTCACTAGCCGCGCCAGTAGGAAACCGCCCTGGAAAATAAATAGCATCTTTCAGTAAGCACTGCATCATTTAAGCCGGAAAACCAATAGAAATATAATTTCAAACTCCATCGCAAGCAATATGAATTGATCAAATGTCAAATTGATGACACAAATAGACTGCAACATTTCCCTCCTGAATGCAGAAAAAGAAGCCGTTACGTACACTACACACAAGTGGAAATCTAAATAAGATTATCGGCAGTAATAAAGCTATAGGTCTAGCTAGCGTATAGTGTCTAAAGTATGAAAGTGGCACGGGAGGGTTATTTTGTGACGGTCAAACGTCAGTTGCAGATTTGTATGCCCTGTCACGTCATAATATGTTAATGTCACCCCTCCCGTGCCGCTTCCATACCTCAGGCACTGGCTGAGTTAAGTGCTACCCCTATAAATGAACATGATCCATACCTGGTACCGGTCCATGAACTCCTGCCAGTGGTCCTTGAAGAACTGCCAGGCGAGGTCGCGCCCGTTCCTGCTCACCGCCACCGACACCACCACGAACACCGTGTCTTGGGAACGCACTTCATCCTGGGGAAAGAAGACGACCTTTTATTAGTCACTTTGGAGGATAATATAAATAACTAAGATGGCGCGGCGACCTAACGTGAGTCTTGGCTTCTGCGCCATTTCTCAACGTGACGTCCATGGCGATTTCGTCTCCCAGTTGTACCTGGGACGACCAACTGGACGACGGTCACTGAAGGACATTGAAGGATATAGTGTTTTTTGTGTTCCGTTAACTCTTCGAGGTAAGCTTGTGTTACGAGTGGGCTCCCCACAATAGTCGAGCGGCGGCGGGGTGCGATCCCGCGTTCCTCGGGTGTCGAGTCAGCCAGTTCGACCTCTTCTCCGCTCAGCTATCGTGGATTCAAACCACCACGCGATTAAGCAGCGGGGCTACTCCGAAACACCGTTTACGTAGTTTCGGGTCTATCTGTCACCGTCGCTCGCACTGGCATCTCGTTTTGCGTGAGAGAGATAGCATCTCGGCTGATGCGGTCCTTCTCCTCGTGCAGGCGGCGAGCGGAGGCCAGGCTCGAGCGCGTGTGTACACACGCGGCGGTACTCACGGAGAGCGCGAAGTCGAGCACGCGATTAAGCAGCGGGGCTGCTCCGAAACACCGTTTACGTAGTTNCCGGCGAGTACGGTGTAACGAGCGCTCACGTGGTCAGTGGTAGGCCTGCAGGTAGGCGGTGGCGGAGCTCACCTGGTCAGTGGTAGGCCTGCAGGTAGGCGGTGGCGGAGGCGAGGTCGCGGCGCAGCCAGGCGGCGTTGAGGCGCACGGTCTCGAGCGCCTGCTGCACGGAGCGCTCGGTGCCGGGCGAGTGGTGCGCGCGGAAGAACGCCTCGATCTCCTGCGCCGCCGCCTCCGACGCGAAGTTCTCTGTCGTCGACTTCACTAGCCGCGCCAGTAGGAAACCGCCCTGGAAAATGAGAAAGTCTCAATTACAACCGTGTAATGCAACAACTGTGCGGCTGTTCTAGTTCGAATCAAAAATGAGATCCGTAAACGAACTAAAGTCGCCACATGACATAGCCCGACGGATTAGTAAGCTGAAAATGGGCAGAGCGCATACGCAGAACTGACGGCCGATGGGCAGCAAGGTTCTGGAGTGGAGGCCACGTACCGGAAAACGCAACGTTCACCTACAAGGTGGACCGAAGACGTCATAAAGGTAGCAGGAAAGAGCTGCATGCAGGCCACTACCAACCAGGCGAAGTGAAAATCATAGGGAGGCCTAGTTCAGTAATGGACGTCCTGTGGCTGATGATGCTGATATGCGTTGGAGTCCTAGTATCAGTACTACCAGTATCAATCTATTGTGATTATCGCTATTTTGCAACGCAATTAATTTTACTTGAAATAATTCTTTAAATTGAGTCTAGGTCTTCAAGATTAAGATCTTTTCAAGTCTAGTAAATGCACATGATCCATACCTGATACCGGTCCATGAACTCCTGCCAGTGGTCCTTGAAGAACTGCCAGGCGAGGTCGCGCCCGTTCCTGCTCACCGCCACCGACACCACCACGAACACCGTGTCTTGGGAACGCACTTCATCCTGGGGGAAAGAAGACGACCTTTTATTAGTAACATTGAAGGATATAACTAACTAAGATGGCGCGGCGACCTAACGTGAGTCTTGGCTTCACAATAGTCGAGCGGCGGCGGGGTTCGATCCCGCGTTCCTCGGGTATTGAGTCAACCAGTCCGACCTCTTCACCGCTCGGCTATGGTGGATTCAAATCTATTTATCAATAAAATTGGCACTCTAGCGGGCTTCGCGGTTCATCTCTTTAGCTCGCAGCACCCCAGTACAGTACTCACGGAGAGCGCGAAGTCAAGCACTCGGTTAAGCAGCACCGAAACACCGTTTACGTAGTTTTGGGTCTATCTGTCACCGTCGCTCGCACTGGCATCTCGCTTTGCGTGAGAGGGATGGCATCACGGCTGATGCGGTCCTTCTCCTCGTGCAGGCGGCGAGCGGAGGCCAGGCTAGAGCGCGTGTGTACACACGCGGCGGTACTCACGGAGAGCGCGAAGTCGAGCACGCGATTAAGCAGCGGGGCTACTCCGAAACACCGTTTACGTAGTTTCGGGTCTATCTGTCACCGTCACTCGCACTGGCATCTCGCTTTGCGTGAGAGGGCAACACGGCTGATGCGGTCCTTCCCCTCGTGCAGGCGGCGAGCGGAGGCCAGGCTCGAGCGGTACTCACGGAGAGCGCGAAGTCGAGCACGCGATTAAGCAGCGGGGCTGCTCCGAAACACCGTTTACGTAGTTTCGGGTCTATCTGTCACCGTCGCTCGCACTGGCATCTCGCTTTGCGTGAGAGGGATAGCAACACGGCTGATGCGGTCCTTCTCCTCGTGCAGGCGGCGAGCGGAGGCCAGGCTCGAGCGGTACTCACGGAGAGCGCGAAGTCGAGCACGCGGTTAAGCAGCGGGGCTGCTCCGAAACACCGTTTACGTAGTTTCGGGTCTATCTGTCACCGTCGCTCGCACTGGCATCTCGCTTTGCGTGAGAGGGATAGCAACACGGCTGATGCGGTCCTTCTCCTCGTGCAGGCGGCGAGCGGAGGCCAGGCTCGAGCGGTACTCACGGAGAGCGCGAAGTCGAGCACGCGATTAAGCAGCGGGGCTACTCCGAAACACCGTTTACGTAGTTTCGGGTCTATCTGTCACCGTCGCTCGCACTGGCATCTCGCTTTGCGTGAGAGGGATAGCAACACGGCTGATGCGGTCCTTCTCCTCGTGCAGGCGGCGAGCGGAGGCCAGGCTCGAGCGGTACTCACGGAGAGCGCGAAGTCGAGCACGCGATTAAGCAGCGGGGCTACTCCGAAACACCGTTTACGTAGTTTCGGGTCTATCTGTCACCGTCGCTCGCACTGGCATGTCGCTTTGCGTGAGAGGGATAGCAACATGAATGATGCGGTCCTTCCCCTCGTGCAGGCGGCGAGCGGAGGCCAGTACCTCTAGTACGAAAAACTTTCGAGTTCGTTTCGTTGCGTATTCAAAGTGTCATCGAAAAATTTTGTATGAAAAATTAAACAGCGCCCCCTAGGGCGGCTATAATATAGGGGGCGCTGTTTAATTTTTCATACAAAAGTTTTTCCTACTAGAGGTACAGGCTCGAGCGGTACTCACGGAGAGCGCGAAGTCGAGCACGCGGGTGAGCAGCGCGGGGTCGCGCACGGCGCCGAGCGCGCGGCTGATGCGGTCCTTCTCCTCGTGCAGGTCGGCGGCGCGGTAGAGCGCCAGGAAGCGCTCGAAGGTGGCGGCGTCGGCGTCGGCCAGCACGGCGCGGTAGCACGCCGAGCGCAGGTCGGCCGGCAGCGTGCACGCGCCCGATATGTGCTTCTCGAAACTGCGCAAACGATTGCACATCATTAGATCGCTTTCTGAATCTTGCCCTGACCCTTAGAGCAGTAGCGGCGTAAGGGGGGGCGGTGGGGGCGGTCCGCCCCGGGTGCCAAGCATCAGGGGGTGACACAAGTCGCGCAGATTAGTACTCACTGGCACATCTGCATGTGTCAAATCTGCGGTGTATGTCATGATTAGGGGNGACACAAGTCGCGCAGATTAGTACTCACTGGCACATCTGCATGTGTCAAATCTGCGGTGTATGTCATGATTAGGGGGGGGGGGGATGCGATTGACTTTCAATCTTCGAATCGGTAGGTAACCCCAAAATCCTGGGGGGTACCAGGGGGTGCCATAGGACTTGTGACGGGGGGTGACCGCCCCGGGTGCCAACCCATGCTACGCCGCCACTGCCTTAGAGTAGGTTGATATTACTATAGCAACTCTAGCGCTTAACTCAGTGCCTGAGGTTTGGGAACGGCATGGGAGGGGTGACAATGCCATATTAAGACGTGACAGAGCATACGAATCTGAAGTCTCGTTGACGTTTGGCGTCTCAAAAACACCCTCCTGTGCAGCTCCCAATAAATCAGGCACTGACTAAATTAAGCTCTACAGAACTTTATTTTTGACTACCCATAGAGAAGAGGATTTTGAATTTTTGACCAACAATGTATAATAATATTTTTAAAAAAATTATCAGTCTATCCTATGTACACACGGCCACACTGTTAACTATCCATTTCCGTTTTTGCTCTCGCTCTCATCAAATGGTGATTCTTTACGATAGAACGAGATGACATGACAGGCAATGGGTAGTTAACACTGTTGCCGATAGTACAGTCAAAGGCAATAATACAAAAAAGATTTTCATAAAGCATCAAAACAAAGGTTTCTCACCGATTCTTAGCCTCTTTGATAGTATCCGGGTCCTCAAAGCTGATCATCTTGTTGAGCACGAGGCTCCGGAGCAGCGTGTCGAGGTGGCTCTCCTTCTCCTCGGCGTCCCAGCGCAGGCGCCGCGTGACGCCGGCGAACAGCTTGCGGCCGTAGTTCTTGAGCGGCTTGTCCAGCGCCGTGTGCGAGAACAGAGCGCTCAGCTTGGATAGACAGTTGGATATCGACGACCACACCGTGAAGTTCGTCTCGTCGCTGAACGCCTCTATGAGTTTCAGGGACTGGAAATAATAAGCAGAATAGGCTAGTTTCCTAAAAAAAAAAACTTTTGGTCCGTCAATTACATTATCAAAAAATATTGGACGCGTGTATTTTCTTTGACAATCAAACAAGTAATTACGAAGTTGCGCGTTGAAGTTCAGCGCGACGTCACAAAGTCCTACGCTTTTATGCACGCATTGACGTCACGGAACTTTTCTTTTGAACTTTGGCGCTTTTTTACCCAGGAAACATCCCTATTAGTAATTTAACATTTTCCCTTAGAAAACTTATACCTTTAGAGACCATGGGCTATAGCGCCCATATGTGAGGACAAAATACAGACTGTATCATATTGAAGTACTGAGAACTGCTTTCTCAATCCAATCTAAATCGCGCTATGGTCAGCAGAATTTTGATTTTTAACAGCCACTGCAGCAGTTGTAAGATGTGTATCAACATTGTGAGGCTATTTGCAAAGCTGCACGCCTTAACTTTTTATAAGGCTCTGGTATTGCTGCCATGATTTGCACATAAGGTTGAAAGCCAACGAAATTCAGCATACTGTGCCTTCATTATCATCATCATTTCAGCCACAAGACCTCCACTGCTGAATATAGGCCTCCCCAATGACTTTCACATCGCACAATTGGTAGCGGCCTGCATCCAGCGCCTTCCTGCTACTTTTATCAGGTCGTCGGTCCACCTTGCGGGTGGACGTCTCACGCTGCGTTTTCCGGTACGTGGCCTCCACTCCAGAACCTTACTGCCACAGTTTCAGCCTTACAGAGGGTTAAGGCATTATCCTTTGACTCACCTCGGCCGTGTGCGTGTGTCCGGCCTGCACGAGCGCGAAGCAGTCGTCAAGCAGCCCGAGGCGGTCGAGCGGCGGCAGCGAGCCGTCGCGCACCGCCGTCACCAGCTGCGCCAGCATCGACGCCGGGTACCGCGTGCGGTAGTACCCCACCTAGGAAAAATGTTTTATAAAGGTGTTAATATCGTGCGGATTGCATGGCGAACGCGGGATTCATCAAGCTTTTACCTGCGACTTTGTGAATTGCTATCTGTCACAAACGTAGAAATACACGTGAAAACCGGGCGTGTGTGCTAAGGGTGTTTTTACCCGACTACGGCAAAGCAAAAGGAGTATTATTATTCTAGATTTTTCCCACGACGACGTTACATTAGTTAATGAAACTCTTTCATTTATAAATGATTTTCACTTGTAAAATCGTGTAACGGTTTAAGTCCTACCAAAGGCAATCTATTTTTTGCCAAGTATACATAATACTCGTATTTACTTACGTTTTTTCATAAATAACTCCTGAATGAATACTATCACATTTGTAACAGCTGCACCGCAACATTTGATCTTATTTTATTTTAGTTAAACACTGTTTCAAGGTCTACATTGCAATAATTCTAACTCTAGATAACACCTTACCTATCTTTAGGTAATACCAGAGTAAATACAAATGAGTAGGTTATCTTCATAGAAACGCACGGAGCGTATGTGAGCGCGCCAATACGTATGCGGCGCGCAGCACACACTGACAAGATTCGGCGCAACTCCCCGATAATCCACGATAAATTTTGTCAGTGTGTGCGTGCGAGCCGCATACGTATTGGCGCGCTCACATACAAACCGCGCCCGGTGCGTTTCTATTAAGATAACCTACTCATTTGTATTTACTCTGGTAATACATTACATCTACATACAACGGTTTTAACAATTCGACGTAAACTAAGTATATTCACATGTTCAATGTGTTTTAACTTCCTAGTTACTTTCAATCTGCTAAACAACTTAATGGGATTTGCAAGTTTGACCATCACTTAAACTTTTAAAGAGTTGTGGAAGTAGTTATGTTGATGAACCATAGGATGCTCAGGCAAAGCAGTGTTCAATTAACTTTCTCTATTTCTTTTAAACTTTCAACAAGTGTCAAGGCAGATAAATCTTTATAGCAAAATGGGTAATACCATTGTAACACTTACATGAGAATATACTGTCTTGAATGGTTTTATTATTTAGAAATCGTCTAATAAATACATTGTGGATGTCTTGAATTTATGTGAAAATTCACATATGTGTGTAAATATGCATTTAAATTAGTTTTTTACTAAATTCCACAGAGCATTTGACACAAATCAATAAGTCATTAATTAATTTAAATGATCAACATTTAAAAACGTCAAAAACATGTTGTCAATGAGCTATCTAAAACATTTATAACTATCTAGAATAAGATACACTTTGAAATTTATTATTATAAGAGTGATTATTTTAAAGAGACTTACAGTGCCAGGGTTGAGTTTGACCCATGAAGATTCAGCAACATTTTCTAAGACAACTTCTTGAGTTCTCTGCTCTAAAACTGTTGACAATGCCACCTAGGAAAAGTAAAATAAAATCAATTAAAAATGCATGAGAGAATTCTGAGCATCATTCCTATTACAAGACAATATGTTATGACAGCAATAATAATGTAAAAAGGAGTCTACAATTAATTTGTATAAATCAACATAATATTATTACATCAAATTAATCTTTACATTCAAACTGTGTCCATCTTGCAACTGTATTAAAGTGGCAGACTCCTTCCATGCACTATGAATGTCACAATCACAATCTTCAGCTGAACATTTTTCATCCAACAATTTTTGTTGCAACTGTTTATAATACAAAACAATCTTTAAGCTCTATCCATTAGTAAGATGATCAGAAAGTAATCAATCTAGATTAAATATTAAATAGAAATGGGTCAATGTCATATTGTTTGATATTGATACACTGATAAGCAGTATCAAGAACTTAAGTGATTAAAAACAGATTATGTGACCTTGAATATATCCTTGCATTTGAAAACAAATCGATTTGTTTACCTTTGAAGGTTGTTCCTGAGTAGATATTGTTATTGGCACCATCCAAAGGGTATCGTCGCCCAAACTGCCGTCGGCGCAGAACTTTTGCTGAGTCAGCGTGAGGACGCGGTCTGGTCCTCTTTGTTCCGAGCTCACCTAAAAATAACTCAAAATATTAGTATTTTGGCATAGTTCCTACACCAAGAATGTCTCATTCAGGTCATTAACATACAATAAAATATTTTCTTTGGTTGCCCAACATTCATATAATTCTTTAATTGTTGAACAATGGATGATTCAATGTGACTTTCAAACAAATCCATTGTTCATTTATTTAGGTATTATCACATTTCTATGTCCTATTGTGTGTACTTGGCACTTGTCACTCCCTGAATCTTTGCACTGATAAATGTGTTATTTATCGCACAATACCTACATGGAACTTCTATAATTGTAACAGTGATACATACACTACTATTTGTATAAATCATAATATTGCTAAAGTATTAGTAGCAAAATAACAAACATTCATCATAAATACATTGTAAATTATGGTAATTATTTATTTATATTTTGAAGACCAAGCAACATTAATTAATAAGAGAATACCAAGTCTTTGGAAATCACCTTTCATCCTTTGATTACTATTTTTACAAACCTGCACCATAGGAAAACCCATCTGTTTAGTCCAAGTTGACATAACAGCTCCAACTGGCTTATTTGAAGCTTCCTCCAAGGCAGCCCACAAGTCTTCTGTGAAGGTGTTCTTGTACTAAAAGTATAAAAAAATATGGATATATTTTTAAAAGTTATTAGTCATAAGACCTTATCCAGCTTCTTTTTCAAATAGAGTTGTGAGTAAAGAAGGTATTGAACCCATAGCTCAAATAATATGGGCTTGGGTAAAAAAAGGCCTCTGAAGAAACCAGATCAAGTTCTTGCACTGCCACAGTTGGTATGTGGACTAGTGTGGACCAGACTAGATTTTAGGAACTAAATTGACTGTATGAGTGACAACATAAATGTGTTCTTTTTAAAATGCTTGAGATTATTACCTGATGTCTTGTCAGATAGATATTCATTCCCTTCCGGAAGTCATCATCACCAATGTATCTATGCAGCATACGAATCACAGAAGCTCCTTTGTTATATGATATGTCATCAAAGATTTCATCAATTTCTGATGGGTGTCCCACAGGCACCTCTATAGGATGAGAATTTTTCAAACAATCCAATTCCAATGCCCTGAAAATATCACATATTTGTTTACCAAGAAGAAAAAAATTATTTTAGTCACAAGACTTCCTTGTTTAATCTAATTAAATACCTATGTTTGAATATAGTAAAATATAAAAATACATACCTAATGTATGTTTCAGTGACAAATTGTGTCCAAATGTCATACTCAGGGAACAGATGGTTAACACAGAGGAATTCCACAAAAGAAGCATATCCTTCATTCAACCAGAGATGAGTCCACCACTCCATGGTGACCAGGTTGCCAAACCACTGATGAGCCAACTCATGGCCTACAACGAGGGCTATCCACTGCCTCCTCACAGCAGAGGTGTGCTCTTCATCCACCAGAAGGCAGGTCTCTCTGTAGGTCACAAGACCCCAGTTCTCCATTGCTCCAGCAGAGAAATCAGCTATGGCTATTAAATCAATCTTAGGCAGTGGATAAGCAATATCAAAGTACTCTTTATAGTACGGCAGCACCCTTGCTGCAACTTCTAGGGCAAACATGCCTTGTTTACTTTTGCCAACAGGAGTGTAAACACGTACAAGCACACCATCTCTGGATTTTTTCTCTACATAATCATATTCGCCGACCACCACGGCCACAAGGTAGGTCGACATCACAGGAGTGGTATCAAAACGAAGGAACTTTTTACCACCCTCAATCCTTTCCTCTCTGACAGGCATGTTTGAAAGAGCAACGCGATCAGCTGGGACGTCGAGTGAGATGTCAAACGTGGCCTTGATGGCAGGCTCGTCCCAGCACGGGAAGCATCGACGGGCATCTGTTGCTTCGAACTGAGTGACGGCGGCGTAGCGCTCTTCGCCGGCCGGAGTCAAGTACTTGCTGCGGTATAATCCTTTCATCTTGTCGTTGATCTCGCCGTTAAATTCGCAAAACAGCATTGCCTCGCCCTCCGGAAGCGGTTTGTCGAACACTATACACGCCGTCTCATCAGCAGCGTTCAGACGCACTTCCACCGGGCTGAGCGTTGAATCCGATCCACCATCGTTATATTGGAGTTTGACGCTCTTCAACTCCAAATCCAAACTATTCAGCACTATCTCTTTAGTAGAATTCACGATCTGAAAGTGAAGGCGACTATAAACGCGGCACATGGGAACAACATATTTGCAACGGCGATGTGATGAAATTTCCTCTTACCGATACTTTCACTGCTGTCTTTCCTGTGAACGTTAATTTCTCCAGGTTCGGTGTTAATTCTAAATCGTAATGTTTAGGTATAACATTTTTGGGAAGTCGCTGAAATGGTTTGTTTTCGGGCATTGTCACTTTTTCTTTCACGATCGTAAATGTGGGACGCACAACAGAGAAATACCGTAATGACCGAGTGACAGAGTGAACTCGCGTTGCAATCGTGCCGCTGATACGTGCCCCTCTCGCTCCTCGAGACCCCCACTCCGAATAACGGTATTGGCTACGTAAGAACCTGCAATGGCGACTGAAATGTGTACGATTTTCAAAACGAATTGCAAATGAATTACGTATGCCGCGTAGCAGTTGTAGCGTCATGGAAAGCAGTTACGATGACGTTGTAAGTGAAAGTTTAAAATGGCTAAATACCGCAGTAACTTTCCAATATGCGAGGTTTGTTGAGGTTATAACGGCATACAAATCGGCATTTTTTCATCAAATTGTCAAATTGTCAGTAATTTTTTTTTAAAAGTGATGAATGACTTTATGGTTTTAATTTTTAATAAATGATTGGAATCAAGTAATTTTATCCCAATTCATCTAGACGAGTCATACATAGTCATAGGTCGCTCAACGAGAGTTGAGCCGTTGAGACTATCAACAACACAAGCGAAGATTTTCATACGCTGTGTGTATCGAAGACAAGGGCTTTCTTTTCTGTTTCATTATAGATATGTATGCGCCTATCCTTATTCGTCCCAGCCATTCCTTAACTGCGGTTGCAGCACCTCTTCCTGGCACTCACCTGAACTACTCTGTGTTACCTACTGTGGCTGCCCCTTTTCCTTGTATCCTCCTGCACGACTACATTGCCTAGCCGTATGCCTGGTCTAAGGTTCGACGCCAAAAATCAACAACAACAAGTTTGTCGGCGCCGGACACAGATGCTGCAATTATTATTGATGATTAATAGTACCAATCTTAATATTATGTTATCTGTATAAATCTGTAGAGCAGAAGGTTTGTGATTCCTAAACGTAACACCCGACTGATGCGCAGAAAAAGATAACTGTCAATGAGTTGTGTCATGTCAAGTGTGAGCAGGCGGCTGCGAGGTTATCTTTGAGAGCGTGTTGAGTTTGGTGGAACGTTAAATTGTAGGAAAAGTGATTGTCAACCATCCAAGATATTATCTCCTTGCCCGTTAACCCACGCCTATGGAGATTCCACCCCTAGAGTTCCTTCTGATAGAGACCCAGTGCCTTTATCAGAAGTGGGATTCGAAGGGCACTATTCAAAGGAGATAAATCTTTCAGCATGCACACCTACGCTACGCAACTCATCAAGTTTTACATGGAGGATGCTGGCTCAGACATTGAGAGTTGGTGCAGGTTGACGGAAATTATTGTGATTGACGTAAACTGGAAGGGCCTTTGTGAGTGAGTGAGTTGAGGGGGCCGGGCCAAGGGCGCCCGGGCCACCCTGTTGCCGTGGTTGAAGGGGCTGTTTACGCCCGGGCCACGCTGATGTAATGCTGGTTTCCTGGTCGCATGGCTGCATGCCTGGATCAGCAGTAGTAGTGGTGCGGTTTGAGGTAAATGGTTGAAGGAGCCATAGCTTATGCCTTGCGCGTCGGGCCATGTTACCTAAACCCCGGTTTCCTGGTCGAAGGGGCCTCACGCCCGGGCCAGCTGTAATGTTTTGGTTTCCTGGTCGGGCTTCGCGCCCGGGCCAGCTGTAATGGTTTGGTTTCCTGATCCAGGGTCATCACGCCCTGATCAGCTGTATTTATTGTGATTCTACGATCTGATATTCGCACGCTCTGTAGTCAGGAATGGACGAGCTGTGATAATGAGAAATTGAATGTTTACAGATGGACAAACCCTGGACTAAGCGCACGAGGCCGTGCGATAGTCAGGCTGGCCGTGTCGACGCCGGACACAGATGCTGCAATTATTATTGATGATTAATAGTACCAATCTTAATATTATGTTATCTGTATAAATCTGTAGAGCAGAAGGTTTGTGATTCCTAAACGTAACACCCGACTGATGCGCAGAAAAAGATAACTGTCAATGAGTTGTGTCATGTCAAGTGTGAGCAGGCGGCTGCGAGGTTATCTTTGAGAGCGTGTTGAGTTTGGTGGAACGTTAAATTGTAGGAAAAGTGATTGTCAACCATCCAAGATATTATCTCCTTGCCCGTTAACTCACGCCTATGGAGATTCCACCCCTAGAGTTCCTTCTGATAGAGACCCAGTGCCTTTAAGTTCATATTAAAACGCTGAAGAGTTTTTTGTTTGATTGTTTGAACGCGCTAATCTCAAGAATTACTAGTTTGATTGAAATAATTATTTTTGTGTTGAATAGCTCATAAATTGAGGAAGGCTATATAATATACAATCACTCTACGACTAATAGAGGCGAAGCAGTAAAGAAAAATGTTGCAAGCAAGGAAAATAGTATTTAAACTATTTTCACGCGTACGAAGTTCATTTTGTGGCGTCAAACCTTGGACCAGGCATATGGCTAAGCAATGCAATCGTACAGGAGGATACAAGGAAGAGGGGCAGCCACATTAGGTAACACAGAGTCGTTCAGGACAGTGTCAGGAAGAGGTGCAGCAACCGGAGTTAAGGAACGGCTGGGACGAACAAGGATAAGCGAATCCAACTCGTGATCCTTGACAGGGATACGCTGGTTAAGGCGACCCTTTACAAGGTTTGGGAGCCTTCGGGTGACGAGCTATTGGACGTGGAGATGGTCATTAATTATACACATATTTTCTACTTTGTCGAACATTTGCACGAGAACGGTTTGTCTAAAACATAATATGAATTTGGTCTTATTTAATGCAGGATTAAATGCCCTTCAACCGTCAAAAACTAACAAAAACAATCTTACGTAAAAAACGAATGGCCCTAAATACGCACTAAAAAAAATCAAACATCAAGACTAATCTAGTCGCGCTATTAGGGTTGCTATGTGAACGACAGTGGTGACCTCATTAAAGTCTACTCTTCTATGTCGCACTGTAACTGTCTAGCTAGGAGGTAGGCTGTCGTGTTTTGTAAGTTGCAGTCCTTCAGTGCATATTCTAACTCTCTACTCTTGCTCGGCCGCCTCTAGTTGGTTCTTATGTCTATTTTTAACTGCCACAGCCGGTATCTGTCAGTCATTGATCTGTGATTCGATCGGTAAAATAGCAAAATTAATAGAATAGAGATAAATGCCGCATAAGTGTTTATTTGTATCGATTTTTATTGTGGATTTTTATATTTTCAATAAAATAATTAAATGCTGCAAGTATTAAAATTAATCCAGAGGTTCTGAGAAGTTCTTTATATTAAATACATACGCATTGTTAAATTAAGTTGTACGGGAATAATGAATAAAATAATTGAAAAGTGTTTATTCATATTAGCAGGTAAATAAGTTAAATTCGTTATTAAAGTTATTTTTGAGTAATAGGTTGCTACCGTATCTACTATAGTCTAGTCATTTAAATAACATTGAAACTGTTTACTCATAAAAATCTATCATGGTACCTACATGGATAATGATAACTTTATATTTACATTAGCATTTTTTATATTACAGTTTTATGTGGTGTATCAACATCAAGAGTGTTAGAATTAAGTGACAAATTTATCGAAATCAGTAATGATGGTATTTGGTTTGTCAAGTTTTACGCCCCATGGTGTGCACATTGTCGTCGTTTGGAACCAGTGTGGGCTCATGTGGCACAAACACTGTACAGTTCACCTATCAAAGTGGCTAAAGTAGACTGCACAAGGTTCAATGCAGTAGCTGCTCATTTTAAGATACGAGCTTATCCTACGATCATGTTGTAAGTTATATGTATTAACATAGAAAAATATTATTATATTACACTATTACTATTATTATATTAATTACATTAAAATTACAGCATTAAAGGTCCATACCAACATGAGTACACTGGTGATAGAGTAAAAGAAGAAATGGTGAATTATGCACTTCGAATGTCTCAGCCAGCAGTTCAAAAAGTGTCTCATGCAGACAGCATAGGATATCTGAAAGAAAATCATCCCATATTCTTTGGATTCATTGGAAAGCAACATGGTCCATTATGGGTAAGAATGCCAGCTTTGTTAGCTTGTATTAGGAATTAGGGAAACTTTACTGATTTAGATTTTTGCAATACAGGAAATCTTTACAATTCATGCTGAAAAGTATCAACCACATACATGGTTCTATGCAATGACACATGAAGTTGTGAAACATGAATTGAAACCACCAAATGAAAGTGCAATATTTGTTTACAAAGAAGATGATGCATTTTTCTTTGAAGGTATGTAAGCACTTAGGTATTACAGCCATTGTTTCTACATAAATAATTTATAATACAAAAATAAATTAATACAAATGCAAATATACATAATTATATACTTTTACAGCTAACTCAGCATTGTTGGAGGACAAGGAAGCCTTAAATGTGACATTGGATAAATGGATTAACTCTGAGCGGTTTGGATTTTTCCCGAAGATTACTAGAGCAAACATAAATGATTTAATGGATACTGAAAAATACATAGTTATTGCAGTTGTATCAGAAAACAAATTAAACGAAATCACACAAACTGAGCAAGATTTTAAGGACATGATAGAAGGAATAATTAAGTAGGCATTGTGATTTGTTAAAATAGAGGTCAATATGTAGGTGAAAATGAAATATTTTACTAATATAATAAATTGACATTTATTTCAGGAGCAGAAAGAGAGACCTTCACCACCGCTTCCAATTTGGTTGGATGGGTACTCCAGAGCTAGCCAACTCTATTGCTATGACTGAATTAACTGTACCCCATTTATTGGTGCTGAACTCTACTACCAGCCACCATCACATGCCTGATGATGATCCTGTTCTGATGACACCAGAAGCAGTTGTGATGTTTTTGGACCAGATACACAACCAAGTTGCTCCTGTAAATATTTTAATTTCATCTATACTAATATTATAAATGCGAAAGTAACTGTCTGCCTGTCTGTCTTGCTTTCACACCTAAACCACTGAACTGATTTTGATGAAATTTGGCATAGAGATTAGTTTGAGTCCGGGGAAAGGACATAGGATAGTTTTCATTCAGCGTTGCCAGTTTCTTTTTTCGCCAAGTCGGGACTTTGGTACTTTTTGAGTGAAAATAGCGGGATTCTTCTGTCAGAAGCGGGACATAGTAAAAAAACGTATACATATAATCAAAGGTTTTCAAATACTTATTTATCCTTTTATTTGACTTAAAATTACGTTTACGTGACAATAAATAGCAAAAGTAGCCATAGAAAATGTATTTTAACAAAAAAATAATATTTTAAATCAGATTTACTCTATCGTTAAATTCGTCTTTAGAATAAAAAAATAAAAAATAAACAAAAATCGAAATAAAAAAATTATTCTTTAGAATAATATGGCGTTTCAAACAATAGTCTGGTGAAGTGAGTGTCTCTCTCCGAAAAGCGGGACAGAGCCTGTCCCGCGCGGGACATTTAAATTTGATTAAAAAATCGGGACGTCCCGCCAAAATCGGGACGTCTGGCAACGCTGTTTTCATTCCGGTTTTTGAAACAGGGACGCGCGCGATAAAGTTTTTCTGTAACAGACAAAATTCCACGCGGGCAAAGCAGCGGGTGAAAAGCTAGTTTTCTAATAAGCCGAATCTCAGAAAAAATTAACTGATTTGTGTAGATAAATTAAATTTATGATCTCGGTTCCTGTTGCGTGGTGCAGAACTAGTGTAATCACGCAACTCGTTTCCTAGCATATCAAACAAACAACATAATATAGTACTGAAAACTTGTTGGTAGAAAATGTAATTAACTTACTTTTTTTTAGGTTTATGGTGGAAATAATTGGCCCGTTCGATTGTATCGCGGATTTTTCGAAGCAAGGACGACCCTTACTAACATGTGGCGAGGGAATCCTGTCTTGACGGCGCTTGTGTTTGGATTACCTCTTGGTTTCCTGTCTCTTATTTGCTATTCTGTTTGCTGTGCTGACATACTGGACGCAGAAGAGGAAGAGACTCCAGGTAAACTGTTCATTCTAAAATAACTGTGAAGCAAAAACAGTGAGCGTATTTACAAAATATTTTCTCATATTCAATATTGAAAAAAAAATGTGGGTAATCCAAGATTCGAACCCTCCCCTCTATAGTTAGATTAATAATTGTGTTTTTATTTTCAGAGACACATGAAAAGAAGGATTAATTTCTTGATTGCGCTGTAAAACTCGCATCATGCTTCGCCATCTTAGCATCAGCTTTTATTAACTACAAAAAAAAGGACATGGTAGCGTAGAAAAATCAACCACCAAAGATATGAGCAATTTCGTTTTAATGTCTATAGTAAATAACATTTCAAAATTTAAGTGTATGATTATACCTAGAATATGTGCGAAGTCATCGTCAAGTCTCTAGATGAAAAAGTGTGAAAATAAATATTGTACATAATTTTAGTAATGTATAATTCGAATCATCGCTGTATGTATATTAACCTTTTAAACTAATAAGTACTTAAATCATAACCAATCTAATTTAGGCCAGATTTAAACAGAACGATTTCGCACTACGTCCAATCCCAATTTGTAAAAATTATATGACTTGAAGTAGTCTGGTCGCCGAGCACGTAGAATTTCGTCCAATGACCCCAAGCTACCCATCCTTATCACTCGCGCGTAATTATATTGCTGTCGCGACTGCGACGGGCGGCCGCAGTGAGTGTGCGAGCGCGACAGCAATATAAGGTAATATTACGCGCGAGCGATAAGGATGGGTAGCTTGGGGTCATGGGCATGGGACGAAATTCTACGTGCTCGGCGACCAGACTTTAGTTATACCAAGTACTATTTATGTAGTAGTTTATGCACTAGGTTCGATTTCCGATAACCATATTCTTTAATCTCTTGTTACTTTCCTAGATCCGTATTTTGACGGATCTTAGATCGTATTGGACGCAGTGCAAAATTACATTAGGTATTATATGTACCTATATGACGTGATGTGATGAATACCTTCCCTCTGAGTACCAATGAGGCATCATCTTGCTTGGTGAGAAAATGATTTTCATTAATGTTAATGAAATAAATTATGCAAATTCTAAAGTGAATTCAACCCACAGGTTCAAATCAGTTTTGTTATTGTTATTAGCATGATAAGACTAGTCTTTTAAAAAGAGAGGTGTTCTTATTTTTAGATGATTTGATGCATTATTTTTATTAGTTAATGTTTTATGTTATGGTCTTTATAATTTTTATTTACATACTACGGTTGAGGGCGGTGTGTGCTATGTGCCTAGCGTCACAGAGTAATAATAAGTATAAAGCTTATTTTTTGCATATTGGAACAACCTAGTCCTGGAATTTTAATTAATGGGACAGACCCCTAGGCAAAACAGTAGAACTGCTTAATATATTCAAAACAGGACATTTTTTTGTGCTTTATCTGCTATCAGTCTCACGACAGTTTATGAGTGGATGAGTTATAGTTAAGGTTATAGTGTACTTTGTATGTTAAGTGTCTTCCCCACTGAGTCAGTCATTTACATATCTCTACACTCCCCAGTGCAGATTTAAGATGTCATAGCTCTTGAGGAGTTTGCTATAAACTTTGTAATTGACCTGAAAAAAGGGTGTATAAAAGAGTATCCCACACATTAATTAAGTACACTACAGTACTACTGCATAGGTTTTGTTCTGGTTTCCATTGTATTGTTCATTCCGAACAGGTACATGAATTACTTTATAGTATCATATTGTTACACCCCCTGATAAGTCAGTGTAGGCTGATGGTAATTATTAAAACAATGTACCTACTTGTAAAAAAAATGTTGCTAGACATAATAATTTGTGAGAGTGGGAAATAAACAGTTTTTTGGTAATTAATTTGTTTTATTGAAAGCATAAAATGTGATTACATGTTGCTTAATTCTTCAATATAAAGAGCAATTTCAATTAATTTAACTCTATTTTTTAACTGATAATACCAACTTTTGTAATCTTCAGTGTACTTTTCCTGATAAACATAATGATTCTCATGCAATGTATCACTATCATCAGAATTAGTTGAGTCACTTTGAACTTTTTTCATGTTTATATTTACTTTCTTTTTAGATGCATGATTACCGTAATTATTATTTCTGATTATTATTGGAGACAGTGATTCTTGAGGTTCATAAGTTGATTCTTTCTTAATTTTACGATCAGTTGTTTGTTTATATTGTTGGTCATTTTTGACTTCATATTGTTTGCTTTGTAATTCTTCGCCATTGTCGGTCGTTATATGACGGTTTTTGATATATTTTTTTCTATTTGTTTTCTTAGAGTAACGACCTTTTGAAGTACCAAATGAGGATGGAAGACCTGCATCTATAAGATCTTTACTAGAACATGCATCAGTATTTGTAAAATCATCTAATGGATTAAGAGCATTCATATTATTATTTTCTGAAATGAAATTATCTGTTCTTGGATTGAATGTTTGTTTTTTCCCATTATTAAGAACATCTAATGATTTATTGTTTGATTCCATTCTGGACATATCTTTTTCATTGGGTTTAGGCTTCTGACCATTTACCAAGGATTTTACTGATTCATAAAAATGTTTTATTGATGTTTTGGGTATTATTTTTAGCAAATTGTGAGAAATATCTGTATTAGAAGTATCATCTTTATTTTCTTCAAATGAGTTAATTAAATCAGTGAATGATTCAATTTTAAAATTTTTAGATTCTTCAAATGATTCACGTAATTTATCAAATTCTTCCAATTTTTCTTTATTACTGTTTAGACATAACAGATCATCCCATACTTCTTTGGACACCGCTTCCAATTCACCAGCAGTTAAATTGTTTTGCTTTGTAAGGGACAGGGGCAGGTTTACATTACTGGCACTGTTTTCAGACTCATCTGCCCATAAATTGGTGACTTTTAAATTATTGAGGTTTATTGCTTGTATCATATTTTCAAATTGAACTTCTTCTTTGCCTTCACTAAGTATTGCAATAGACAAACCATATGAGCCATAACGACCTGCTCTGCCTATTCGATGCAAATATGTTTGCCATTCACTAGGTGGTTCAAAATGAATGACTAGGTCAACATTTGAAGCATCTATTCCTCTTGCAGCCAAATCAGTAGACACCAATATTCTACACTTATATTCTTTTAATATTTTCAATGCATCAAGACGATCTGTCTGATCTTGCTGTCCACGTAATTGTTCAACAGGCCAATTTTGTCGTGATAGTAATTTGTGTAATTCAGCCACTCTTGCCTGATAGTTACAAAATATCAGGCACTGTTTAAATTGCTTTTTGGTTAATATTTTTAACAATTCCTGAAATCTATTTTTAGTTTGCCTAACAATATTACTGTTGCAATTTACAACAGTTTTTTTTTGCTCTACACCCAATAGTATACAACTGATATCTGGGCATACATGTTGAGCACATTTGATATATTTGGTGATAAATTCTTTAGTAGATTCAGAATATGTAGCACTACTCATGATGACTTGTTTTTGGGCAGGTAATGTTGAAAAAATATAGTTTACATCTGCCTGAAAGCTTTTCTCCATTAATTTATCAGCCTCATCAAGGATTAGAAGTCTCACAGAAGAAACGTCTATGTATTTAGATTGAATCAAATGGCGTAACCTTCCAGGGCTGCCCACAACTACATGAACATTCTTTTCAAATTTGCGGATATCTTCTTCCACTGGAAGCCCTCCAATCACAACCTCAACAGCCAAACCTTGAAAATGTAATAATCAACCATGTAGGTAAATACAACAGAAAATGCAAACAGTAAAAGTAATTAATATTGATACTGCTATATAATAATACAAACAAACCTTTATAATGGGATCCTATTTGTTTGATGACATCACATATTTGGAAAGCAATTTCTCTAGTTGGTGCTAGTATTATTACTTGCACTCCTTTGCCTAGATCCAATGTCTCAAGAGATATAACAGAAAATACGGCGGTTTTTCCAGTTCCAGATTTAGCTTCTAGTAATAGATCTGCAAAAAAATATTTTATAAATTAATAATAGTAGGAATGTAGGTATTCCAAAAACACATGTATGAATGTAAAATATCTCACCAAATCCACATTTTCCTAATGGAATGCCGTGTAGTTGAACTGGTGAGGGTTTATAAAAACCGGATTGTTTTAATCCCTGCAAAGTATTAGGTGCTAGCAGCATAGATTCAAAAGTAACATTTTGAACTATCTGCACATCACACGTTCTATTGCCCTCGTTAATGTCATGGGCTAATACCATGATTGTGGCTTAAAACTTAGCTTTTTCGTTAAAAAATAAAATTAAAAAGACTGCCGTGCCGGTTGAACAAATTAAAATTTTACTCGCCGCCACAGATTAGAGAGTATGCTCGCCGCTTCATCGATCGTCCTCAGATCAGAGCCCCGATTACGGTAACTTTTAACGTCTACAATCCAGACGCGTTTCTGATTCTGCGATACGATTGGTCGAAACAGCTGACGTACGCTGTTGAACGACCAATCGTATCGCAAAATCGAGAAGCGTGTCTGGATTGTTGACGTTAAAAATTACCGTAATCGGGGCTCAGCAGACAGCATTGACACTAATGTCAAAAAGTATACCAGTCCTTAGCACAAAAACAACCATTTCATAACAAACTCCACCGGTTTCCACCAAGGTGGAGCTGTGCGGAGCGGAGCAGAAAAATTTACCTGAAATTTACACTTGCGAGCAAAAGTATGGAATCACTCACATGAAGTTGTTTCCACGCGATCTTGTGTACTAACCAGTTTGTTAGTAACAAAAAAAGTAGCACCATTTTAAAGATTAAACTTTTAACTTTAAATTGATACCAAATTCATTTAAATCACACTAGTATTTAAAAAGATATCCCGGCTGATGTGAAAAAGTAAGGAAAAAGGCATGTATCAACTGTTTGATACGTCGCGAGTTGCGGCCTATTTACCCCTCATAAAAGTAAGTGTTTTCGGATTTTTGCTTTCACACGTTGATCCATACACATCTCCGCTTCTTTAGACACTTTATCTGAGATTCTACACGTTCAGAAGCAGCATAAATCGTTGCACTATTGCAAGAAGGGCTTAGCCAGCGGGCTGTCGCACGTCAGCTCCACATAAGCCAATCCTGGGTTTCGAAAGTTTTAAGACGCTTTCGGGATACCGGTGGCTTTATCCTGAGACCAAGTTCTGAACATTGCCGGTGCACATCGCAGAGGGAAAACCGTTTTTTCATGTCAACTTCTCTACGAAATAGTCATTTGACTGGTATCAACGTCCAGCTGACGTGCGACAGCCCGCTGGCTGAGCCCTTCTTGCAACAGTGCAACGATTTGTGCTGCATCTGTAGGTGTAGAATCCCAGGTAAAGTGTCAAAAGAAGCCGAGATGTGTATGGATCAACGTGTGACCGCAAAAATCCGAAAACGCGTGCTTTTATAGGGGGTAAATAGGCCGCAACTCGCGACGTATCAAACAGTTGGTACATGTCTTTTTTCTTACTTCTTCACATCAGCCGGGATATCTTTTTAAATACCGGTGTGATTTAAATGAATTTGGTATCAATTTAAAGTTAACAGTTTAATCTTTAAAATGGTGCTACTTTTTTTGTTACTAACAAATTCGTTAGTATACAAGATCGCGTGGAAACAACTTCATGTAAGTGATTCCATACTTTTGCTCGCGAGTGTAGTCTTATTTTGATCTATTTTATATAGTCAAAAAAACCTAAAAATTTAAAATATTTTTTCTAAGTCTCGTGCGTGCGCGTGCCCCATAGGGCGCCCCGTTTCCTATACTCCAAGCCGTACCTAGCTAGCGAAGCTGTGAAATGCAGACAAAATTGACTGTATTCTACAGATGAGACAGCTGTATTCCAAATATCAAAGACGCAAAGTACAGAATTGACCGACAGTATGTACCAAAAGCATCGAATACATAAAAAATATTAAAATGAACATTCGTTGACATAAAATATTTTAATTATACTTATCATGAACTTAGGCATATTTCTTCTTGGAAATTGGGAGAATGTATTAAACTGGCAAGATTATTAAAAAAAATAATGACAAAACACTGACATTTAACAATTCGTTCAAAAACTGTTCATTGAATTATTTTATTCAATATTTAATTTTTAATAAAATTATTGTGATTATTTGTAAATATTTTTTTATTTTCATTTTGTGACTTCATATTTCTTGATTTCATTTACATTTATCCATTATCCTTTCATCATTTCACGACTTTTTACCTGAAATTTATTAAAATAAAATGACAATCAATTGAGGTCGTAAGTTTCTGAACTGATTTTTGTGAAATGGCGAAATTGTGACTCTTGAGGATCAACTTATTTTTATGTTCGATAATTAACAATTTCTAAGTAAACCAATGCAGTTTTGTAATTCTTATTGTTATATTTATTAACATTTATTAGTTTGGAGTCTATAAATGGAATAAATTTATCTTAATGTAATTATGTTACTTGAAACCAGTTGATCGTATTTTTGCTATTCAGTGTAAATTTTCTTCCACTGGGCTACATTCATTTATACGTAGGTAAGCAATTAAACAAATAACTGTTATCTGATAACTTCAACATTAAAACAATATAGAGGTCATTCAAAGATGTGTACTTTATTTTATTAAAATTTTTGTCACATTCAGGTCATGCATTTTGTAAATATTATGACTTAGTGAATGTTATTCTATTGTTTCCTACAATATCAGTCGTTTTCCAAGTTATATGCAATGCCGTAGTATTTGCTATATGTATTAACATTGTAATAAACAGTGATGTGTTCATGTTCAGGTTAAAATAATGAATAATTGTGGTGGAGTTGGAGGAGGCGGGGTGGGTGCTGGAGGAGGCCCGTACGACGCCAAGATCGCGGGGCTCTACGACCTGCTGGACACCCTCGGCTCGGGGCACTTTGCAGTGGTGAAACTGGCCCGGCATGTATTCACAGGAGAAAAAGTGGCTGTGAAAGTTATAGACAAAAGCAAGCTGGATGAAGTGTCTAAATCACATTTGTTTCAAGAGGTATTGTGGAGCAGTTATATTTTGCAATATTTACAGACTACATAATTAGTGTTATTTACAAATAATATTTTTAATGATGTCTTTATTTTTACCATTTTAGGTTCGGTGTATGAAATTAGTGCAGCATCCAAATGTTGTTCGACTATATGAAGTGATAGACACACAAACTAAACTATATTTAATACTAGAATTAGGAGATGGCGGAGATTTATATGACTACATAATGAGACATGAATCTGGACTATCAGAATCTCTTGCTCGTGATTATTTCCGCCAAATAGTTCGCGCTATATCATACTGTCATAGGTAATTTAATTTTCTAAAATAATAAAGTACATTAGATTTTGGATGATGATCTAAAAAATACTCTCTGTTGCAGGTTACACGTTGTGCATCGTGACTTGAAACCAGAAAATGTAGTGTTTTTTGAAAAACTAGGAGTAGTTAAATTGACTGACTTTGGTTTTAGCAATAAATTCTGTCCAGGTCAAAAACTAGAGACTTCATGTGGATCCTTAGCTTATTCTGCCCCAGAGATACTCTTGGGTGACTCTTATGATGCTCCGGCTGTGGATGTGTGGTCCCTTGGTGTTATTCTGTACATGTTAGTGTGTGGACAAGCTCCATTTCAAGAAGCTAATGATAGTGAAACATTGACAATGATAATGGACTGTAAATATACTATACCACCTCATATATCAAAATCTTGTAAAAGGTGCTTTTCATATAATATTTTGTTGTGTAAAATTATTTAGATATGACCTGATAATAATAATACATGTAAAATTTTAGGCTTATAGGTAGAATGTTAGTGAGGGAACCTGAGAAAAGAGCTACACTTTCAGAAATAGCCACTGATCCATGGGTAACAGCGGGAGAAGGCATCACTGTTGAAGACTTTGACACTCCGCTGGTAGCCAAGGAGCAGCTGTCGGAGGATGACCGCACCGCTATCATCCAACGCATGGTCAATGGATCTATAGCAACTAAAGAAGAGATTTTAGAATATTTAGAAAAGAATGACTATAATCATATTACTGCTACATATTATTTATTAGCAGAAAGGAAATTAAGAACTAAAAGGTTGGTGTTTGTTATCAGTAAGTTTCTATTTATCAATCCATAACTTTGTAACTTGATAAAATACTCCTACTCATTAATTTTTATTAGATTTACACCAGATTAGATGATAATCTATGTTATAATAAAGGACTATCAATGACGAGTCATGTGATGTATTAGCTTTCGGCTTCGCCCGCGTTAAATTAAGTTTTACACGAAAAAGCCGACTCATTCGACACTAGTTTTAATGCAGCGCAGGAGAAATAATGTAGGATTCTTAAGGTGAAAAAGATTCCATGTGCACAATCAATTCTTCTTTTTCTGCCTCGCCTTATCCCGTTACGTGGGGTCGGCTTTCCCAATCGTGCGGTGCCATTCGATCCTATCTTGAACGTCTCATTTGTGGAGTCCCAATACTTTTATTTATTTTATTTTTTATTTTTCTTTATTAAGGAAACAAACAGCATGAGTTTATACATGTGAACTTAAAAAATAAAAACAGTACAGTAGCCTAATCAGTCTTTATGTCCTTATTTACTTTATGTCCTTTTGGATATTTGTCAACGCATTTATTAACGCGAAAGATCACTGATTGACTGACTCACTCACTCATCACGAAATCTGAGAAACTACGAGTGCTAGGGGTTTGGATGTCTGGATCTTTCTTACTCTTTCACGTAAAAACACGGATTTTTATGAAACTTTACAGTATTATTGTCTATAACCCAGAATAACATATAGGCTATAATTTATGACCATCTGTACAGTGATAAACTAAATTTCACGCGGGTGAAGCTGCGGGCGGAAAGCTAGTTGTTTATAAATAATTAACTTTTAAAAAAAATAAAACCGACTTCAAATGCGTGAACACAAAAAAAAACTAAAAATTAAAAATATTGCGTATAAAAAAGTTCATCCCCAATTTTCCACCCTTGGGGGTGAAATATTTTCTTCAAATTCGCATGAAATCACCCTTTTGATAATACCTATTCAACAAAAAAATATCGTTCAAATTGATTTATAATCGGCGGAGATATTGCGTATAAAAAAGTTCATCCCCAATTTTCCACCCTTGGGGGTTGTTTTTTCTATTATTAAATTTAAATGGGACCACCCTTGAGGTATTACCTATACGCCGAAAAAAGATTTGTTCAAATCGGTTCATAATTGGCGGAGTTATCGCGTAACAAACATAGAAAAAAAAAANCCCGCCGCGCCGCGCACGCCGCAGGACGTGCCGCCGGTGGGTGCACTTTTTATTACTTTTGATTTAAACTTAGAACACGGTGTAACATTTGGATTTTGGAAGACATTTTGCGTCTCTCAAGCTGGAAACGCTTCCGAATGGCCAGTGGCACAGCGAGCTTTCACTGTAAAAGATGGGAGTCTGCACGTCCGCTCGCACACTCACTGCTGCCGCCCGTCGCACAGTCACGATAGGTAGCTTGGGGTCATTGGACGAAATTCTACGTGCTCGGCGACCAGACTAGACACGCTCTGTCGCGGGGAGGCGGGGCGCGGGCCCACAGGGGGGCGCCACGAGGAACCTGCTGGCGCCGCCCGCGCTGCCCGCCGCGCCGCGCACGCCGCAGGACGTGCCGCCGGTAGGTGCACTTATGATTTAAACTTAGAACATGATGTAACATTTGAAGGAGACTTTGTGGCTTCAATGACCCCAAGCTGTCTATCCTTATAGCTCGCGCGTAATTATATTGCTGTCGCGACTGTGCGACGGGCGGCAGCAGTGAGTGTGCGAGCGTGACAGCAATATAATTACGCGGCGCGGGGAGGCGAGGCGCGGCGGCCCGAGGCGCTGGGCGTGGCGCGGGGCGCGGGCGCGCAGGGGGGCGCCACGAGGAACCTGCTGGCGCCGCCCGCGCTGCCCGCCGCGCCGCGCACGCCGCAGGATGTGCCGCCGGTGGGTGGACTTATGCTTTAAACTTAGAACACTGTGTAACATTTGGATTTTGGAAGACATTTTGCGTCTCTCAAGCTGGAAACGCTTCCGAGTGGCCAGTGGCACAGCGAGCTTTCACTGTAAAAGATGGGAGTCTGCACGTCCGCTCGCACACTCACTGCTGCCGCCCGTCGCACAGTCACGACAGTCACGATAGGTAGCTTGGGGTCATTGGCCGCCGGTAGGTGCACTTATGATTTAAACTTAGAACAATAACATTTGGAGGAAATTTCGCGTCTCCCAGGCTGGACACGCTTCTGATTGGTCAGTGGCAGCGCAACGAGCTGTCAGTTGATTTGCAATCAGATTGAGAGTAGATCTGCTACATAAAAATATCGTCTCGACTCATCACGCCAATATGAGTCACAACTAAATTCGTCTTAATTTTTTTCTGACAGCGCTCGCGCAAGTGCAGTATAGTCCGCGAGGAAGAAGACGACGAGGAGGCCGCGGTGGCGGGAAGCGGCACCACGCGGTCTTCGGACGCGCGCCGCGGCTCGCGCTCCGAGGGCCGCCTGCATCTGGCCGCGCGAGCCGCGCCCGCACCGCAGCTCGTGGCCCGCCCTGCGCAACTGGCTGATAACCTCACTAAGGTAACATGCTCATATACAGGCCTTGAAGACCTGCAATGTGTGCAATAAGTACCTCACTAAGATACCTCCGAGAGAGTCCGAGAGCCGCCTGTACCTGGCTGCGCGCTCTACGCAGCTGGTAGATAACATCACCAAGGTAATATGGTTCGTACAAGCGCAGTATAGTCCGCGAAGAAGAGGACGACGAGGAACCCGCGGTGGCGCCGCAACACGCCGCTCGACCTACGCAGCTGGCTGATAACTTACTAAGGTAATATGCTTATACAGGTCTTGGCAACCTGCAATATGAGCAATAAGTACCTCACTAAGATCCCGCTCGCGCTCTGAGGGCCGACTGCATCTGGCCGCGCGCGTCGCGCCCAACAATACTGAACTAAGCCACCCCCTTTAGAGATCTCTGCAGAAACATCCAATTGGCCCGAGTCCCTCACCAAGGTATTATGCTCGTACTCAGTCACAGTCACAGGCCTTAAACCTGATATGGCATACAGCAGCTGTAAAGGTACCTTATTAGGATACCCACTACACACGCCCTAAAAACCTGATTTGCAGTGGCAAAATTCGCCAAAGCCTCGCTGTCATGCTATACGAGTACGACAATACGACTAACTAAATACCTCACCAAAGTAACTCGTCCCTACACAGAAGACCTTGAGGGGCACAATAACTTCACAATACAACAGAAAATTAGTAGTGTTCGTAGCGCACGTCGCCGCCAGCCGTATTGTCTTAAACGCACGTCGCGGTTTCGAGCCGCCATCAGCCGGATTCCTCCGATAATCTTAAGGAATGTGATACTATCTATAAATAGTATGTAACTATTAATTTGATCTTATCCAGTGTTACTCTAGATAAGAAAAATTGGAATTAACTTTAATTAGCATAAAATGTGCTATCAAAAAAATGACTTAGAAATCATGGAATATGGAAAAACTTACGTAGTTTCTTGGATATCAGTCTGGACGCACCTTGTCCTGCACGTCACTTCCCTGTGTGACGTCACGATGCTTGATGTTTTATTACTCTTTCAATGATGACAGCAATAACGGCGCTCAAAATGTCTTTTAAAAATTTTCGCGACTCATCCATTTCCCGTGACCAGAATTTGGGCTGCTTTTCGCTACTGATTTTAAGAAAAACTGATTTAAAGGTTCTATACTCTTCTAACCAACTAAGGGCTTAGTGTGAGTTTACATCAAACGTTCTCACTACACTAATAAAAAATTAATATGAGAATTTTAGTTCTTGAAAGTTTTTTTTTATGCATGACAAGGTATTTGACCACAATCGCACCTGATGTTAAGTGGGATGCAGTCTAGGATGGTACATATCCGCCCTGTAAGTGCCTATTCACTCTCGCCTTAAAGAAGTTTCCGCTAGGGGCGCTGTGCAATCCGTCATACATTCAAATTTTTTTACGCGCTCACTAGTGATGACGTTTGATGTAAACACACCCCCAGAATTTGGGTCGCTACTAATTTTAAGAAAAACTAATTTATAGGTCCTCTATTCTTCTAACCAACCGATCGTTGTCCAGGTGAACCTGACCGAAGGCGTGAGCGGCGAGGCGGCGAGGCGCGGGCGCGCCGAGTGCCGGCGGCGGCGCGGCGGCTCCTGCTCCTCTTCCGACCTGTCCGACGACGACTCCGAGAAGAAGAAACGGGCCGCTGAGCACAAGCCGCTGCCTGACAGAGCTCGTCGGGACTCGCATGATGACTCCAGCGACAGGTATCAATCATACATCATCATTCAATTGTTTTTGTAGCTTAGCTAACATAGCGCAGTGGCTTATAGTATGCTCCTCCTCCGACCTGTCCGACGACGACTCCGAGAAGAAGAAACGGGCTGCTGAGCACAAGCCGCTGCCTGACAGAGCTCGTCGGGACTCGCATGATGACTCCAGCGACAGGTATCAATCATACATCATCATTCAATTGTTTTTGTAGCTTAGCTAACATAGCGCAGTGGCTTATAGTATGCTCCTCCTCCGACCTGTCCGATGACGACTCCGAGAAGAAGAAGCGCGCTGCTGAGCGACTCGCATGATGACTCCAGCGACAGGTATGATTTTGGAACGATCGGGTAAAAAAAGCGAATCGTAGAACACGAGCTACGCCTGATTGATTGAAATCATGCTATAACTCAATAAATCTGTCAATTTGATTTTCAATTCTATGCGCTTGCTATGTTCTCCAGTTTATCAACTGGACCATACCATCGGTGCGGATACTTGGGAAAACTGATATAGTTATTTAGTCTTGCAGGGCAATCGAAACCTTAACCTCTTGATTGGGCCATTGTGCGCGATTTGTGGTTTATCTTCCTACTCCAACCGCCTCAGATCCCCCTAGAAAGCAAGAAGCCTGTCTAGGCTGCTACAGGCCTCCTGTAGCGATACTGGTGATTGGAGAATTTGAGCCCGTTGATTTGCTACGCTTCTGCACTCCATGAGCACCTCCATGCTTCCATGCATCCTCTGTACAGTGGGCTTTGTGGCGACGATATTAATTTATATGAATAAATAAATATTTTTAAAAAAAACGAAAATTCCCGTTACTTTTTGAACAGACTATGTACACACGGCCACACTGTTAACTATCCATTTCCGGTTTTGCTCTCGCTCTTATCAAATGGTGATTCTTTGCGATAGAACGAGACGACATGACAGGCAATGGATAGTTAACATTGTTGCCGATGGTGTACGTTAATAATACCCGATGTACGTTATTATAATATCAATTTACGTAATATACTACTATACAGGGTGTTTCTTGTAAGGTGTCAAGCCGAAGGCAGGTGATAGGTGAGGACTAGACCTATCGATTTCACCCCCATGTATGTTCTACGATTTTTCGTAGTTTAGAAGTTATAGTTAATTTTGTGATTTTTTCAAATTTCATGACCTAGTGGCTTAATTTTTTTTTAATCTTTTTTTTGGGTTGACTTTTCTCAGATTTCTTTTTTTTGACAGATTCCCTATTAGTTGCAGATATTTGAAAAAAATAATCACCTTCCTATCTTTGATGCAAGATACAAAATTTTTGCTAGAAACATAAAAAATATGCTTTTAGCAGAACATTCTAAAATTTTCAATTGAAATGTATAAGAACAAAAAATCATTTCCATAGGTCCAAAATAATTTTAAAAACTGCGCAGTTTTCTAAACTTTCATAATAACACAAAAAAACATGTACTTAATAGGCCATTATTTTCTGTAATCGCTCCACTAAAGTGGTAAGTCGGAGATTCCGTTACATGTTTTTGACTTTCTTAGGACTAAGTAATATTTGCAATCCCCTAAGTTTACGTTATGTAGAACACATTTAGAGACAATAACTGAAAAGTTTTTTTTATCCACAACGTGGAAGCTCTTGCTCTTCATGTGGTTACCTATTTAGGACAGCCAATTCCTCTGTGGTTTAGGATTCCGGGTGAAGCTCGCTGATCATCCAGCAGTTTCCAACTTTCCATCAGGTCAGATGAAGGGCAAGAGCTTCCTCGTTGTGGATAAAAAATGTTCTGTTCAGTTATTGTCTCTAAACGTGTTCTACGTAACGTACACTTAGTGGATTGCAAACATTAGTTAGTCCTAAGAAAGTCAAAAACATGTAACGGAATCTCCGACTTACTACTTTAGTAGAGCGATTACAGAAAATAATGGCCTATTAAGTACATGTTTTTTTGTGTTATTATGAAAGTTTAGAAAACTGCGCAGTTTTTAAAATTATTTTGGACCTATGGAAATTCTTTTTTTTTCTCATACATTTCAGTTGAAAATTTTATAATGTTCTGCTAAAAGCATATTTTTTATGTTTCTAGCAAAAATTTTGTATCTTGCATCAAAGATAGGAAGGTGATTATTTTTTTCAAATATCTGCAACTAATAGGGAATCTGTCAAAAAAAAGAAATCTGAGAAAAGTCAACCCAAAAAAAAGATTAAAAAAAAAATTAAGCCACTAGGTCATGAAATTTGAAAAAATCACAAAATTAACGATAACTTCTAAACTACGAAAAATCGTAGAACATACATGGGGGTGAAATCGATAGGTCTAGTCCTCACCTATCACCTGCCTTCGGCTTGACACCTTACAAGAAACACCCTGTATAATATAGTTATGTTCAGGTATATTATTGTTATTGTCCACTTTATAAGTTAAGTCCACAAAACGTACGTCAGAAGGTTGGAACAGTAAAACATGTGATTTCTTTAAAGGTGTATTTGCGACTAAAATAAAACTGGCGGGATCAGCCGCCGACACATACAAGGAACAGTATAACTATTGTTTTCTATTGTTGATTGTATTGGGCAATGATGTGGGAACGCAGGACGCTACTCAATACGCTCTGTTCATTCATAAAGTTAATTTATTACTCTGATTAATGTGTACCTACAGATGGTTCAATGTTCGGTTATCATTATTTCTCACGTGTGATACCTGTTCTCAGCCAAGAGCGCGGCGCGGGCGCCGGGCCGGGCGGCATGGGCGGCGCGCGGGTGGTGGCGCGCTCGGCGGTGGCGGGCGCGGGCGGCGCGGGCGCGGGCGACGCGCGCGGCTCCACCACCGGCGGCGGCGGGTATGTTCTACTTTATATTGTTTATGGATACGTTTCAGGAACATTATGGTTACATCGAGTTTAAAAGTATGAATACCAGCCAAACCTTCGTTTGTTTTTAAAAGACCTTTTTGTTCGTTCGTTCGTTTCAGCCAAATGTAGTCCACTGCTGGACCAAAACCTCCCCTAAGGTTTCCACAATGAAAGGTCCTGCGCTGCCCGTATCCAGGCTCTTCCCGCGACCTTTACCAGATCGTCGGCCCACCTAGTAGGAGGCCTGCCCACGCTACGTCCTGTTTTTAAGATAAATCAAAATCAATACGCTTGAAGGTCAATGGCGTTTAAAATATTTCTCATTATCTTGTGGCGTGCGTGTGCATTTTAATGAGGGCTATCGTTTGTATACTTAACAGTTGGCCCCCATGGCGATTGACAGGACCTTACTCTACATTAGCGTCATCTTGATGAGTGCAAATGCGATAGTCCTCCTACCACTTTAGCGCTCACAAGTTGGCGCCACTGTCTTCGCGACTAGCAAGTGACAGGACCTTACTATACAGTGGCGCCAACTGGTGAGCGCTAAAACGATAGCCCTCATTAGGCTCACGTATGCATCTGCGCTGGATGCAGGTCGTGGAACAGGGCGATGCATGTGGAAATCATTAGGAATCAGATTCAGAATATTTATTAGGGGAATCTTATGTTCAGCAGTGGACGTCCTGGCTGAAACGATGATGATGCAATGTGTCAATGTGATGTATCTTTTATCATGTTCATCATGTGCAGATGCACGGGCAGCGGCAGCAGCGGCGGCGGCAGCGCGGGCGGGCGGCGGCGGCGCGCGGCGCGGCACGAGAGCCGGCTGCGCGAGTCGCGCTCGCTCAACCGCATCGCCGAGGTGGAGGAGGCGGCGGCGGCGCGCTGGGCGGGCGGCGGGCTGGTCGCGCTGTGCGGCCGCCCGCTGCTGCGCCTGCTGGGCGCCGCCCGCCCCGCGCCCTCCGCGCGCCGCCTGCACGGCCTGTGCTAGGCGCCGCCACGAACTGGCTTCTGCGGCGCCGGCAGCCGACCGAACGTGTGAACCCGCCGGTAGCCGACCGAACGTGTGAACCCGCCGGTAGCCGACCGAACGTGTGAACCCGCCGGTAGCCGACCGAACGTGTGAACCCGCCGCGAGCTCCGCAACGTGGACGATATGGACGTCGACCGTATACCCGTTCACATAAAGCGCTTTTACATTAGGGCGTTAGAAGCGCGACAGCAGCGCGGCAGCGGCGTTTTTTATAATGTGAAGGCATCCGCTGTCGCATAGTATGAAATTTTCGGCAGCGCGTATGTCGCGCTGCTAAATGAGGGCTATCGTTTTTATACTTAATAGTTGGCACCCCTGGCGATTGACAGGACCTTACTCTACAGTGGCGCCATCTTGATGAGTGCAAATGCGATAGTCCTCCTACCACTTTAGCACTCACCAGATGGTGCCACTGTCTTCGCTACTAGCAAGTGACAGGACCTTACTCTACAGTGGCGCAAACTGGTGAGCGCTAAAACGATAGCCCTCATTGCCTAAATGTGAAAGCCCACTTACACTTCCCGCTGACTTCGACCGACGACGGGTGTTGCGTGACGTTTTCTACTGTTTGACAGCCGTGTGAAAAGTGGATATAGACCCAATATACTGAACCGTCCTACCCGTGACATTGACAGCGGGGCGCCACCGTCAATACCGAATCGCTGGTTCCGATTTTTGTCATGTTGGAGACTATAGTATAGTAATATAGTTGAACGATGGTGGCGCCCCTCTGTCAAGGAGTTTGGTGGGACACTTCAGTTTAGGTCGTCTTTACGGGGCGCATCGGTGGCTGTCAAATTGTTGAAAAATTTCATGCCCCACCCGCTGTTAGAAAAGTGGCTCCGAAGCCCCGTCCGTTCACATAACATGAGGAGTGAAGCGGGGCGTGAAGCTGGTCCCCGACCGAGTGCATTACGCAGGCCGTACGAGTGCATGATGCCCTGAGCTGCTGACTCGGCGCAATAATCTGTACCTATACGTGCCAAAAGTACTCGGAAATAAAAATAGCAAAAACTTAACAAAAGCATGCGTTTATAAACCACAATAAAAGTTCTTATCAAACTTAAGGCTATTTCTTCAGCCACTTACTCATCGGTTAAAATATTTCTCCGCCTTATTCAAATTCTACTAGACTGCTGAA